TAATAGTATCGGGTACTAAGGATCTTAGAGACTATTACTTATCGGATAGGCTTATTAAACTAGCTTTTAAACTAAGTATAGAGCTCCTTTTATATAAGTAAAGGGTAGTCTTAATACTACTAGCGTAGTGCGAGCTTCTCTACCTCTAAAAATACGGTCCTCGGAGGTATATCTATAACGATAGTTTAGTAAGCAAATCTAAGATACGATCGTTATATAGGTATAGGCAGGAAGAACGATATTTTACAGTAGGAAAGTTAGTGACAGCTAGCAGTATCGCTATAGCAAGGATATCGTTATATGCAGTATCGCTATAAGGAGGTTTGACTGTAGACACCCAAGAGCCACTGCTATGTCAATACGAAGGATCACCAGTGCCGTCTCCGCTCTGCCGGATGATGCTGCCCGCTCTTTCTGCGCTACAAAGCCGCCGGTGGCCCCGTGCGGTAGTATTGCCACCCTGTAACATCATCGCCAAGACAATTGGTATAGTGGTGGTGTTGTGTCACATCACTGACCTCGTGTTGATGGCACCGACCGAGGCGTGAGACAATGCATGCGCTGGGATGCGAGGGTAGCTCGACGTCATGCTTTAGGCTTGACATGGGCATGGCGAGAGGGGATATAAGGAGAGTGTAAGTACCGTCAATGGGTTCTTGTTCATCATCCAGCAACAGCATCAATCAAGAGAACAAAACTACCAAATCAAACCAAACCCAACTCAACACTTCACACCACCGCCAACATGAAGTCCGCCATCGCCTTCGCCCTCGCCGCCACGGCCGCCGCCCTCCCAGCACCCCAAGCCGGCACCTCTGAGCCCCTCCGCTTCAGCGGCATGGCCCTCCGCTCCGCCAGCCCCATCCACTTCGGCAGCATCAACGCCAACAGCCAGGCCTTCTACATCGGCAAGAACACCACTACCCACTGCCCCGAGGACAGCGCCGCCAGCTCCGCCTGCGAGACCGCCAACACCAACCAGACCATCTTCGGCTACCTCAACGGCCAGGGCACGCTCTCCCTCTCCACGACCGTCCCCGGCGGCCAGCAGGTCTACGTTACCGAGGGCGATGAGGCGACGGGCCAGCTCGCTGGTCAGCTCAAGTTCACTCAGGCCCACAGCGCTGCTACCAGCGGCCCGGCGCTCTACGATGGTTTCTCGATTGTGTACGATGCCCGCTTCCAGTTCGAGGGTAATGACTGGTTGGCTTGCCCCGTTGATGACTTCAACTCTGGCTACGGCATCTGGGCTGCGAGCCGTGTGGAGGGCAGCAATGCCGGCGAGGGATGTCTTGGATTCACCTGGAGGGTTGTTCAGCTTGACGATTCGACTCCTTCTGCTTGGCAGTACGTGTAAATGCCTCACGATATGATGATCTTGGGAGCATAGCATGGAAGGGACATATTATGTTGCATAGCGAGGATTTGAGGAGGTTCATCTGCTGTACATTAGCTGTAACCACATAGCGGTCATGACAATCCTTACATTCCAAGCATCCCTCTTGACTCATTAGATCAGGCCATCTTCGCCCCCCGATCATCCTCCTCATACAACCTTTCCCTCCTAACCCACTCCGTAACCCCAGGCGTACACAAACTTCCCACAGTCTCCCAATCCCCCTCCTTCGCTGCCCTCCGAATCTTCGTACTACTCACACCCGCCTCCGGATTCGGCGGCACCAACTCCACCAACCCCGCCCACTCCCTCTTCGCCCCATCACCCTCCATCCCTCCACCAGCCAACTTCCTCACAAAACTCTCCTGATCCTCCACACTCCCATACTCATCGTCCGGCCTCATCGTCACCCGGAACCGATGCCTCTTGCCGAAGTAAGATTCCAATGCCGAGAAAGGCGGATCAAATTTTTGATAATACTTCGCATTAAACAACCTCGTCAACGTATCAAACCCCACCAGATGGACATGTTTCGGTCGATCCGGATACCACTCCGTCCCCTCGTCCTCAATCGCCGCGGATTTATCCGTGTAGTAAGGCGCTTTCGTGACGCCGATGTCGATCGGAACCGGGATGTACTCCGGATCTGTTGTCGAATCCTCGACCGTATCCAGGAGATCTCGCGCGAAGACGGTCATCATGGCCAGACGCTGCTCGAAGGCCGCGGGCGAGGGCGCTTTGTCTGCGTTCATCACCGCGAAGAGGAGTAGGAGGCGGTGCGGGGAGGGGGATTTGGCGGTGTAGGGTTTTTCCAGGACGGAGAGGGCAAGGGTTTTGTGGGCGATTGAGGGGGGGTTGAAGGAGGAGTCGAGGATGAAGAGGGTTTTGGGGGAGTCGGAGGAGGAGGGTTTTGGTGGGGTGGGATCATTGGGTGAGGAGGAGGAGGTCGAGGTGAGGGTTTTGAGGATGCGGAATTTGGAGGGGGATTGTTGGAATTGGGTTAGGGAGGTTGTGAGGTCTGGGAGGAGGGTGCGAAAGGTTTGAATTCGGGTTGCCATTTCTTCTTCGGTTGGCATTTTTCGAGATGTGTTGTCGTTCGATCGAGATGCTATCTTCGAGACGTTCTCCGAGATGCTCCTCGCGATTGAGCTTGTTCCAGACTGGTTTGATGTCCAGATGTGCCTCGATTCATGAGAGGATGGTTGAGTGTTTCAGGCCATTCATTATGCTTCCTGGCCTGCGTAAGATGACAATTTGTCATATGATCAGCTTTCTTGTATAGGTCGATATCTCGAGACATTGAAGCTGTTGAAGGTGAAGTCTCTCGGTCAGAGGGCAAGTCCAGCCGAGGTGTCTTGGCAAACTCCTTCAATCATCACGACAGCCATTGGACGGCGAGCAACCTCGCAGCAACCAGCGACATCGACCTCTCCTCTCCACCAAGAACACCTCCCAGAATGGCGACGGCGGGCGCAAAGAATGCCGCAAAGTCGGCTCTGAACAAGGCCACTCAGCTCAACGTGCGCGCTCCCCGTAAACCACCTCTCCGACCACAGCTTAGGATACTAACAACAAGCAGAAATACACCGTCCAGCCCGCCGGCATCTGGAACACCGTCCACAGATGGCTCGCCATTGATCCCGGCCGCTCTTCCGGTATCCCTCTCAATCCTCAGTTCCGTAATCCTCCCCCGGGCGGCAACGACCCCAAAGAATACGACGACCCCGTCACCGTGCCCGCAGGCGACATCGCCGAGAACCCTTACTGGAAGCGCGACACGCGGAGATCATACCCCAAGCTGTCGGTCGTGACACAGCCAGACGTGGTGGGATTGTTGACGGTGGGCTCGGCCGCGGCGCCGAGGGATGATGTGTTGAAGCTGGGAGACGCGGGCAAGACGCAGCTCGTGGAGGTCAAGGAGGAGGGACAGCGAGGATTGAGCACATACTTTCAGAAGAATACTGGCCTGGCCAAGGGGGTGCTTGGACCGGATGGACTGCCGCCTTTGCCTACGACGAGGCATCCTACGGGCAAGAGGTATCAGTTGAACGATGAGAAGGAGCAGACTTACGGTGGAGAGTATGTATACTTGTGGAAAGAGATTGGACTGGACATTGCTAATGTGCTACAGATACCCATGCCGGACGTTCATATAGATAGGATACGTGGAGCGTTGAGTCTGCATTTCTTTTGTACAGATGCAAATCGATACATCATCCGTCAAGTCCTGCTTCTTTCGTGACTGCCCTGTGAGTCTCCGCAGTAGGTCAAGACGGCAAGAGCATGGAAGGCGCGACTGCCTTGATGAAGCCTTGGCGCGTTGCGGACTTCATCCCATCTTTCTCACACTCTCATTCTCTCTTCATTCCATACGCTCACCCACAAGCGCCATGGCGGCGCGACAGAACTCAAATACCAGCCCCAACGACTTCGACATCTCTATTGAAGAAATCATCTTCAGCTGTGGCATCTGCCAAGCGACAGTCTCTGAGATCTACGCCGACAAGGACAAAGTACATGCGCTCTCCAGCTCCGGAGATGAGAGCGCCATCATCCCGAAGCTCTGGATAGCGGATTGCTCACATGTCTTTTGCGGCAAGCATTTGGAGGGCGGTGGTGAGTTCAGCCACTAAGAATGGGAGAACGGGAACGAGGCTGACGAGAAGTGCATCAGGTGCTCCATTCCACAGCAAGCATGAGCCTCCGAAGGCAGCATGTCCGATATGCGTGAGCGAGCGAAAGCCCGGGCACGAGGAGAAACGAAGTCTCTACGCCATCCGAGGTCTCGGCAAAGGCGAATACGATGAGACGGTGCCTGACAGCTATCTGCGTGTACCGCCGATGAAGCTGGACTCAAGCGATCCTGCTTTGGATGCCATGCGGGTATGTGGGTGCTCAACGCTCGTTGGAACTGCTCTGACACCTTCACAGTTTCAGTACAGCCATCTCGTCCGCTATGCGAAGATGGTTACCAAATCCTGGAAGGTCGCAGAGAAGAAACGCCACGCAATGGAGCACACTCTATCGAAGGAACGGAAACAGTGGCGGACGCAAGACGCAGAATTGAACAAACGAATCGCGGACTTGGAGCAGAAGGAGACGAGACTGAACGGTTGGGAGCAGCGAAAGGCAATGATTGATCACTATATGAAGATGGTGACGAAGATGTCTGAGTGAGTGCGGTCTTGTCTGGAAGTTTGAGCTTCGCTGACCAGAGCAGGGATATCGCAGTCATGCGAGGGCAGTTGCTCGAGCTTGGATATCAAGTCCCAGATGCTCAGTACGCCTTTTATCAGAACGACAACAACCTGAAGCACGCTCCCCAGCCAGCCAAACAGAAGACCAGATCCGCCACCCTGGGTATGATCATCCTTTGCTGTCCAGGCGCGTTCCAAGAAGCTGACTCTTCCTAGCTGCTTCATCCTCCTCGTGCAAGCGCAAGCATCCTACCGTACACGGCGATTACGCAGATGAAGAGGTCGACCACGACAAGGAGAATCATGCTCGACTACAGAGAAACGACAGTCGTGAACTCATGCCGCCTCCACTTCACAAAAGCCGGCCAGCTCAGCCACCGCCTATGCCTAATCGTCGACCCGAGCAGACACAACCTCGCCGACATCAATCCTCGCAACTACCGGTACAGGTTTACGAAGACGGCCGTTGGCATGGTACTCAGGCAGACGTCACGATGGCAGATGAGTACGAGGCTCACCCATCCACAAATGCTCACCGCGGAGAGTACCATGACCACCGCGCCTTACCGCTGAGAGTGACCCAAGCTCCTCCTCGCGTCAGAGGCTTTGAGCGTGCAGCACCATCTCAGGACCCTCGTCGTGGCTTTCTCGATCGCCACGATCCTTCAGGACCTGCACAGAAAACCCCACCCGACTTGATGTCTGTGCCTGCGCGTCGAACCAATGACCAGATCTACGACATACTGCAAGTCGAGACAGATCGCTTCCCGCCGCCTGAGACCCACGCTTCACAGATTTCCAACTTCAGCAACATATATTTCGAAAGCGGCAGAGGGCCGCAGCAGCATATGCGGCAGGCATACAGCCCTTCCAACGATCCATCTGTACCACGCCCTCGACCCATTGCACGCCAGAGCCAGATTCTGAGCACGCCCTCCCTGCGCAAACCGCTTGAGCCGGTGGCTGGCCCTGCGGCAAGTCCGTTCTTCGCCAGTCGAGGACTGCAACAGAGATCAGACGCAATTCAACGCTCTCTCGCTCTAGGTTCGATCGTGCAAAAGCCATATCCCCCGCCTACGAGAGAAGGTACCATGGGCAGGCCAGTCCTATCAACGCCTCGAGCTCCGATCCAGCCTTCCTACCAAAGCAGGGAAATGCCGCCCCCTTCAGCGTTTGGGTCTCAGGCCCACATGCGCTCCAGCTTGCCTCGAGGCCACCACCAATACGCCGCGCCATCCCAACTTGGTCCAGCCTCGAGCTCTCAAGCACATTCATTCTCAGAAAGAGTCTACCAGCGTCATGACATGACACCACTTCAGCCGCCAAGGCAGCCCATGGAAGACGTTCAGCATGGCAGACTCACTTTGCCGCCGAGCAGGTCGCGAGCGGTACCCATAGCTTCACAAGATTCACAACTGTCCATGATCCCAGGTGCTCGCGGTGCCGCACCATCGCACAACATTCATGCCCGCCAAGACTTTGCGTCCACCAACGACCGTTTACGTTATGGACCTTCGTTTGCCGGTGCGAGGAGACCCGTTCAGCGACGATGATGATGTGTTCCCTCTCATTTGAACGGCAGGTGAAGAAGTGCGCTTCCGGGTGTTGGACGCTGTTTGATGATGTACATCCTTGCTGATCTCTGCTCATAATCTTTAGAAATTCACGCTCATCTATGTCCTCGAGCATATTTCTACAATCTTTCCAACACTGTTTCACTCCCATTGATTGAGTAAAATAGTTCATGCTAATCGTGCAAGCAGTTCGAGTGCGCAGGTAAATCCGGCGACTTCACAATCCAATTCGAGCATCATCACATGCTCACAAGCCATCTTCACCCGCAGCTCTTCTGGCCAGTGCGGGCAGGTACTGCGCATCGACCACCTTCACTTCACCACTTCTAAGCCACTGACCTTCTTCCTTCTTCCATCCTCTCAACACAACATAACCACCTCGCACTCGCAGACCAGCACACCCTTCGGAATTCCATTACTTCTTATCATCATCAAGACCTTCACATCCCCGACTTCTACAGCTATGGCTCTCGCCATTGCCGCTACCGACCGTGGAGACCATCAGGACGACTTCTCAGATGCCAATTCCGAAGGCCAAGATGCCTGTAAAGCCACTCTCAAAAAGCGCGAATCACTGAGGAACGACATTCGCGAGCTCGTTGCCGCCCATCGCAACGTCGAGTTACTGCCATTCTCACATGGCGAACTGATGGTCATGGCGATAGTCGACAGCGACAAGGAATAACCCTCCGAGCGCCAAATCACCAGTTGGATCCTCAAAACATTTCCCAATACGAAGAAAGTTCTATCCTTCAACGAGAAAACGGTCGACTATTGCGATGTCAGTGCCCATTATTACCTGCCACTCCTGGATTACGAAATCAACCAGTGGACTGTGAAGCCTAGGCACGCTCGACTTTACCTTTCGCGATGGCTTGAGCCCGAGCGAAAAGGAGTCTTCCCATTCTTCAGGTTACCACCCGAGCTACGCAATCGAATTTACCACATGTCGCTTGTTGTCTCGGAGCCCGTCGTAGTGCTCGGCGTTGATCTAGGGAAGCCGGGAGTCGAGTTACTTGGACGTCATCGAGACATCGGGGAATTCAGTCACTCTTGCTGGGAGTATGAGCTCATGGGGTATCATCTGATTGGTACTCCTGAGCAATTCCTGAGTAAGATGAGTCTGTCCAGGAAGATGCAAACCGAAGCGGCGCCTGTTTTCTACGGCGCGAACACTCTCAAATTCTACGGAGCAGACGATTTGGTGAACTTCACGCTGATCACGAGCATGGAACATATGAGACACCTCAAAAAAGTGGAAGTGGTGGCTGAGATTCGCGGGAGCTGCTGCACTGATCAGACTGGGCCCCTGAGCTCTGCCGTCGCCGCCATAGCCAGCGTGGCGAACCTTGAGAAGATTACCATCATCATAGGCGGCTACTATCTGGTAAGGGACTGCTGCAATGACAGCGTTGTTCCACCGCTTGCCGCGCCTGACGCCCCATACCTCACTGCGCTCGCACCACTCGCAGCCAAAGCCAAGGAGCTGGAGTTCTGTGACAAGTTCGAGCCCTACGAATACCATATATATCCGGACTGGGATAGTCTCTCCGACTCGGCAAAAGCGCTACTTTTGAAGGAAGTAGAGCGGCTCAAGGTCGAGAGGGCTGAACGCATTCAAGAGGTCGAAGAACCTGGGGAAGGACATTCGGTGCACAACGATGCTCTAGAGATTCAGTATACTCAGCGGGTCCAGGAAATTCAACAAGATCAAGAAGTTCCAGTCGTCTTAGAAGCCGACGGAGAAGAGAAAGGAGGGGAAGAGCTCGACGAAACTCGGGACAAGCAGGGTCGGAAGTCGAAGAGGAGTTGCGTGGTGCAGTGAGATTGAGGATTCGAGAGGAGATGGGCGTGGGAGAAGATGCTGCCGCCTTCAAACAAAAAAAGATATCAGTCAGTGTCATTGAGGACATGACGTGCGAGCCGATGGAAAACGAGATGGGTGCTTCTTGGATGGTTGGGCTATGTTTCGACCTGCATTCTTTGTCTTACAGGCGTCTGTCTTGCGGTATGGAAAAGCTTGGTAAGTCTTCTTAGTGATCTCGGCCTTTCTCTGACTCTCTCCCTTGTTCAACGTATTTGCTGACTTGACGGCAGCAATCGTCTTGAATGAGATACTGAGGCCTGTTGACTGTGCTTTTAAGTTTTTATTAAGTTGCTCTCCTTCACCTACCTTCAGTCTTCAGCGTTCTGTGCTCGTCTCTGTTCTCTGAAGACTTTCAATCTGGTGCTACTTCCTCTCGACCCCGTTCTCCTCGCAACTTTCGACGAGCCATCTGCAAGCAATGTCGACCCCAGCCACAACGAACACGCCCATGCCTCCCGTGACCACTCCAAGGCCCCTCCTCAAGCCACCTGCCCGCCCGTTGCAGAAGCAGGAACAGGAGAGACTCGATGCCCTGCAAGAAGCTCGCAAACCCCTGAGACGAGAGATCCGGAAGCTCATTACCACTTTCCGAGACGACCCGAACTTCACAGCCGCCGAGCTGACTTTGATGGCTATTATTGACAACGAGAACGAGTATTCAGGGAGAAGGGACATTTTGAGGTGGATCCATGATACTTTCCCAGTTTACAAGACGGATCTGATCGACGCGATGCTCAACAGTATTTACGTGAACGATCCCCGTCCCTGGAACGTCACCACGAGCCTTGCGCTCGTACGTCCAGACTTCGACAAAGTGTTCAAGGCGTACGATGTCCCACTCGCCTCTGGAATGTACCGAAATGCGTGGACCACGGACGTCAACGCAGCTCGAATCTTTCTACGACACCGACTTGAGCCTGCGAGGAAGGGTGCATTTCGATTCCTTGATCTCGCCGCCGAATCGCGGAATCGAGTGTATGAGATGTTGCTCATCTTCCCGGGCCACACAATACGAGTAGGCTGTGAGACATGGCACCGAGACATGGGCCTGAACGCTACTGCCAGAGACTTCGAGAGCCACGCACGGGCTCAAAGTGCTAGCAAAGGTGAAGTCCCGATGGATGACCTCAAGACTGTTCTCTCCATCACCGTAGCCTGCAATCAGACGGCTTCGGAAGCACTCTCCATCTTCTACGGCGAAAATACTTTCGACTTCTCATCGCTGATATCGATGGAGCTCTTCCTGAGACAAACATCCCCTCGCCGCCTGAAGCTTGTCAAAAAAGGGCGTTTTCGAATCAGCGCCTCATCGAATATTAATCGTGCACACGACCGTGAACTAAAAACAGCATACGAAGTCCTCCACAGACACGTTTCTCTGGACCTGCTGAACATCGAGGTCAGCAGCAATCCCGTGAAGAGGAGACCCCAAGACCCACCTATTCGTAGATACGAGAGTGTGTCACAGATGCTCGAGGTAGCACAGTCTCTCTATTCTTTGGCAAAGCTTGCATCCAAGGCAAAGGTTGTGAGCGTCTTTGCTGCACGGAATGCCCGATCAGACTTGGTTGTGGAGGTGGAGAAGTTCATTACTGATGAGGTGGAGAGGATGCGTGGTGAGACGGAGGAGATGCGTGGAGATGCGGAGAGCATCAAGGAGGAGCCAACGTGATGGAGGGCAGTGAAGGAGGGACAAGACGGAGACTGGAGTGGACTGAATGAAGGAAGCTGGCAATGGTATGTGGTTTCAATCACAGCTGATGGCCGTAGACCAACCGTCTTCGACTGCTTGATCTTGCTGATCTGATACTCAACAAGTAATTGATGAAGATGAGGTTTCTTTGACATCTCCAAGCCCTGGAGATGCCATCTATGCTTGCTTGTCTCCTTCCTCGACCACAACACAACGCCCATCCGCATCAGTGACTCTCACACTTCCTGCTTCCCCTTTGAGCCGCTTCAGCTCTTCCACCACCGGCTCTTGGATGGCCTTCATGTATTCATGTCGGGCTTGGTGCTCATAGTTGAAGAGGATTATGCACTTCTTCGTCTGGACCGCCAGCTTGGTAATCGCACGGAGCGAAGAGTATTTATCGAATGAGCTCCACTGGCTGGCTATGAAACCCATCCGAGGCTCAAGCCGGGAATCGTACTGCCACCTCGTACCATTGATCTTGAATGTCAGAGTCGGTAGAGATGGAATGGCTTTGCTTAGGGCTTCGATGGTGGATCCCATCTCTTGGTCTGGCTCCCGCCAGTGAACGGGTTGGTAGGTGCGGTAGACATCGACTGAGATTTCGATTTGCTTGATGAGACGCAGCCGCCGAGGTGAGGTGATCTTGACGAAGCTGGCAATGGCGGAGCCTTGGCTGAAGGATAACTGATTTGCACCGTAGAATATCGGGATCGTTTCCTTAGCCAACTGTCGATTGACGAGTGCGATGTTGAGGATTTCGTTAGGCTTGAGAATGGGATGCTGGCCTTCAGTTCCGGTGCCAGCTGTGTCCCGCTCCGTGGCAAACAAATCGATCGGACCATGGGATCCTATGCCTCTGCGTAGCTCGATTCTGGAGTTAGGGAAGATGAGCACCAACTCGTAGATGCGATTGCGAAGCTCGGCGGGAAGATCGAGGAAATGGAAGGTGCCCTTGCGCGGAGGATCCAGCCAGCGCCTGAGGAAGATCTGGGCGGCGTCGGTCCTCACGGCGTAGTGAGACGAGTTCTGATTTAGTGGGAGCTCATGGGCTCTCAAAGTATCCAGAAATTCTTGCTCCATGTAGTGTACCGCATCGTCTCCAGGGCGGAAGGCAGCGTGGTCTTCGTTGCCAGTTGTCTCACCATTCCTCGCCAGCTTCGCCCAATAGGGAAAAGTGTCTTCGACCCAGTCTAAGATTTCGTGTTTGTTGCAGAACTCATTCTTGCTGACGATAATGGCCATGATGATGAGCTCGGGAGAGGTGAACGGTGGCGGCTGGTCATTCTGATGGGTAGCGACGAGAGCGTCGATCTGCTGCTTCAAATTGAGGCGGGTCTCAAGGAGCGTCCTTGGCTTTGCTTCGCGGCGGGCCTCAAGTTGGTCGTCGTGGTCTGTGTGAGCCGTGGCGTCTGTCGCAGACATCGCTGTGGGCAGTGTTGCCGAGGAGATGAGAGTGTGCTGCAGACTCTTTTTGATGTCGCGTGGTGTTGTTGAATAGAAAGAGCCTTGAAGTGCAAAGTTTGGAGTTGCAGACTGGAGCGCGCTTAGCGCCTGGTCAGTGCGCCGCATGTGATGGCCAGCAATGAGTCAGCCTGCGCGTGCAATCTTGCATGTGAAAGCCTCGAACTTCTTTAATACCCAGGCCTGATATATCTTCTTTCGTGCACACCCTCGACTGTCGCGAACGCGAGAGTCATTAGATGCGGCGGCGTTTGCGCTTCCCGTTTGCTTTTCAAACACATTCACTCGCTAGTGCGTTGACTAATCACGTCGCGCACTGAGCAGCACGGGCTTGTCAATTGTCAAGCTTTCGGCAGGTTCATCTTCTTCAGACTTCCTCCACCACACAAGTTGCCATCACTGGCCCTGGACCACAACCTCTTTCGCCCGCAAGACGCGCAACACCCACAGGGACGGAACGACGACATCTCCATTTCGCGATGGCGACTCCAGGCACCGATCTGGACCATACCGCTCGTGCCTGCATCAGCTCCGCCTCGGACCTTTCGTTACAAGGACAGGCCGATCGCGACGCCATCCGCATTGCCCGCAAGCCACTGAAGGACGACATCCAGAAGTGCATTGCTCCTCACCGCCACGACGAGCCGCCGCCTTTCTTTTACGCAGAGCTTGTTGTTATGGCTATCATCAGCCACGACACAGAAGACTGTGACATCGAGTGGACTTCTCTTGAAAATATTCTCGAATGGATTTTGGAAACATTTCCGTTCTACAAGAAAGGTGTAGCAGACGGGATACTGAAGGCGATCTATTCGAAGAGGGATTTCCAGGAATTCGGACCATACCAGTGCCTTAATATCATCAACTCCAGCTTCATGGACCTCTTCGAGGACTACCAAGTTCCACTCACTTACGCGGAAGGCATGTGGACCGTTGATGTCAGAGACGCTCGGTCATTTCTTCACCGGTGGATTGAGCCTCAGCAGGATCGCAAAGGCGTGTTTCGTTTTCTGAATCTACCAGCAGAGCTTTGAAACCGCATATATGACATGCTGCTGGTGTTTCCTGGGCCAGCGATTGAGGTCACACGCGCCTACCGCGCAAAGGAACTGAAATTGGCCCATGGACGAATGTACGAGCGGTCAGCAAACCAAGGATGTACATTCGAAGAATGCAGTCCCGAGTGTACAAGTGATGGCTACTTCAGGATTGGCTTCATGAGAAGCGTCCTGGACATTGCTCTTACTTGCAAGCAATTTGCGTTCGAGACTATGCCAATCTTTTACGGTGACAACAAGTTCAACTTTCGCAGCTCAGATGCACTTGAGACATTCGCAAGCGTCACTTCGCCACGTCGTCTTCGTCACCTCAAAGTACTGCACTTTTCGCATGAAATCAGGGAGGACATGTGCCTGGCAGCGGACGCTCGATTGCGGGCGGCTGTCGAGAATATCAGTAACGTGGTATCTCTCGATGAGATGACCATCACCTTCGACCTCTATCCAATTTGGAACGTCAGATGTCGGGCCTGTTCGTGCGACCATACCAACCCACGTACTGTCGCCGATGTGCCGTCTCTTGGGGCACTTTTGCGAATTTTCACAAAAGCGAAGAAAAGTGGCGTCTTTCTGGATGATTATCTTGGCGCAAACAAGGATATCCGCAGTATCATCAATGAGTTCACTCTCCAGGTGAATCAGATCATGGATCAGAAGAAGCAAGAGATCGAGGACGTTGAGGGAAATCAAGAGGATTCGAAGAGCGACGAGGGAAGTGGAAGATTACAGAGCGAAGACCCACCAAGATTGCCCCGGCATGGGCAGGTGCAAGAGATTCAGGGAAGCGAAGGAGTCGATGAGGAGCGGGGAGGATAGGACGAAGATTCAGGACGACCAGAGACACGACGGGAAAGGACATGGGATTGGTATATGGCCGCATCGACACTGCGGGCACTTGCATATCAGCGACGGGCGCTATGCGAGTGGAAAGAAGTTGCCAATGTTGCGTGCTTGGAATGATGCTGCACGACGCATTCTGAGCGTGGCTTCACGCAAACCCTGAAGACTGTGATCGTGGTCGGCAACGACTACTCACTCGGCTTGGTTGGGCTCAGATCATCGTCCTGGATCTCATGGCGATGGAGCATGTTGTGTACTCATAGCTTTCGTAGAAAAAAGAATGCTCTTGCAACATTCAATCTCAAGACAGGGGTGAGGTCAAGGTCCCCACTTGTTTGAGTTTGGACCTTGCAGCAAACAAACACACCCCTCCCAATTGCAGTCCATCACTAACAACTTCACTTCCTCCATCCTCTCCAAAAACACAAACCACCATTTCAATCCAACCAAAATGTCCCGCCCCGACCACACGCGCGCCACCTCCTTCACGAACCTCCCCCCATCCAACCAACCCCGCCTCCTACAAGGCAAACTCGCCATCGTAACAGGCGCCTCCCGCGGCATCGGCGCCGCCATCTGCCACAACCTCGCCAGCAAAGGCTGCAACCTCATCCTGAACTACACCTCGGACGGCTCCCTCACCAAAACCACTGACCTCGCCACGCACCTCCAAACCACCCACTCCATCCAATGCCTCCCCGTGCAAGCCGACATGGGCAGCGAGAACGGCCCCGCGTATATCGTCGATGTGGCGAGGAATCACTTCACGCACCCGAAGACGAAACACTTCCAACTGGACATCCTGATCCAAAACGCCGGCGTCGCCTCCAAATCCCCCCTCCAGGACTGCACGATCGACGAATTCGCCCGGCTGTACAACGTCAACGTCCGCGGACCGCTCCTCCTCATGAAAGCCGCATTACCCTACCTCCCCCACGACCGCAGTGGACGGATCGTGAATCTTAGTTCTGTGAGTTCGAGTCTGGGGTTCGAGGGCGATGGGATCTATGGGGGCACGAAGGCGGCGTTGGAGGCGATGACGAGGACGTGGGCGAGGGAGCTGAGTGAGCGCGCGACGGTGAATTGTGTGAATCCGGGGCCGGTGGCGACGGATATGTATGGGAGTACGACGTATGTATTTTCCCTGCTTTGAGATGGTGAGACTTTGCTAATGTGCTTGGTTCTGTAGTACGGAATTCCAGCAGGCGATGAGCCACTGGACGAGGAATACGCCTTTGGCGGCGATAAGGCCGGAGGTGGATAGGCAGGATTTGGTGGAGAATGCGGAGGTGGCGGGTGGGAGGCCGGTGAGTGAGATGTTGTCTTGGATGTGGTGATTGAGACTGACTTGCGATGTAGGCGTACGACCACGAGGTTGCGGGAGTGGTTGCGATGCTGTGCACGCCGGATAGTGCTTGGTGTACGGGAAGTGTCATCTGTGCGAATGGCGGGTTCAAGTTCAGCTACTAGATGACCAAGGCGAAAAGCGTCTCGAGTAGAGTAAGAGTGATGTGACACGAATCGAAGGTCTATGCGAACTGGTATTTACAATGACAGCATACTCACAATCTAGATCAACTTAGAAAAGATTCACGTCTCTCTCGACATCCTCCCACTCGAAATGCTCCACGATCTTCTCGAACGCCCTTCCATCTCATCCAACACACGCTGTCTTTCCCTGAAACCCTCCACACTCTTCTGTACACTCCATCCATCTTTCAGCAATTCACCGATATCTTCCAGCTCCAACCCGGCCGTCTCAGGATAGATCCTCCAAATCGCCACCCACCCAACAACGCAAACCACAGCATAACACATGAAAGTGATGCTCGGCGTGAGGAAGTTCATCATGGGGAGGAAGGTCATGCCGATGATGAAGTTGCTGCTCCAGTTCGTTGCCGTCGCAAGACCAGATCCTAGGCTGCGGACTCGCAAGGGAAAGAGTTCACTCTGCTGCCAGGGCACACAGCCCAGTCCCACGGCGTACGCAGCAACGTAGAGAACCATGCTCGCGATCAACATCCAGCTCCAGATCCCGTCTCCAGCGTCGTAGATGAGAGCAGCGTCGCGGGCGGGCTCGATGCTGACGAAGGAGAACGCCAGACTGCAGAGAAGTAGACCGAGGACCATGAATGGGATCGAGCGGAGCAGGATGTTGCGACGCCCGACGATGTCGATCCAGGCGAAGGCGACGAGGGTGAGGAGGAAGTTTGTGAAGGCGATGCTGAGGGAGGCGAGGATCGGGGAGGTGAAGCCTACGAGGGCGAAGATGGTAGCGGAGAAGTACATGAGGGAGTTCTGTTGAAAATGTCAGTAGGTGGATTAGTAAGTGAGATGAGAGGAAACTCACGAATCCGCAGAGTTGTTGCAGGCCTTGCAGCATACAGGCGATTGTGAGGGCTCGGCGGTTTCCTGGGATGCTGATGAGTTCTTTCATGGCGTCGCGGACACCGCTGGAGCTGTCGCTGTCGTTTCTTGCGTTTGTCTTGTCTTCGGCGGTGATTTCAGCTTGTACACTGAGAAGCACACTCTGCACAATTCTGGCACGATCTTTCTCAGGCACGCCCTCGTGCACTTTGATCAGCACATCTCTCGCCCGCTCATCTTGTCCCGTCTGCAGTAGCCATCTTGGTGTCTCAGGCATTCTTATGAGAAGTACAAGCTGCACCACTGCCGGCACAGCACCGACTCCCACCATCAACCGCCACCCATGCGGCAACCTGGCAAAGATCCATCCCAGCACGTATGCTACGACTTGCCCACCCGTGATGAATAGCGACTGCACCGTCACCAGCCTCCCTCTCAATTCCGCCGGTGCCAGCTCCGTGATGTACAACGGCACCGCTCCACTCGCAATCCCCACCGCAGCTCCCACCAAAGCCCTCCCCAATACCATAGTCCAGACATACGTCGCCACGGCCTGGATCACGGCACCAAACACGAAGAGCAGTGCGGGGACAAGGATGACGCTTTTCCGGCCATATCGGTCTGCGAAGAAGCCGGTCATTGGCGCAGAGATCAAAGCCAGGAGTGAAGTGATTGCTGTCACGATGCTTTTGTCCGGTGTTGTCAGCGGGCGGTTGGAAAGGTCGGAACCAATAGACACGAGAGTGGAGGAGATGACGCCCGTGTCGAAGCCGAAGAGTAGTCCGGAGATGCAAGCGGAAAGGGTGAGAGAGCGAAGGACAGGGCCTGCATTGCGCCAGGAGATGTTTGATGTGGGTGAATGTCTGCTGCTGTCTTCGGGCGAATCCTCATCCTGGATATGATGCTGCTGTCCGATCAACGGCTCGTGGACGCCGTCATTCGGCTCGTCGCGCTCATCCGAACCCCGACGCATGATGTCCTCCAGCTCGACGGATTTGGAGGAGGTCTCCACGATGGGCAGCGGAGGGAGGTGAGGTCCCGGGTGAGATGGGATGCGTGGTTAGTCATTTCTTAGCTGAGATGCAGTCGGCGACTGCTGATGGATTCAAGGGATGCCGCGCGTGAGGCCGAAACCTTGAGGTTGTTTGGCAAGGTTTCTCGCTTGTTCCGCCAATCAGAAAGGAGGCGGTTTCTGAACAACATCTCTTCCCCAAACACACGGTGTCTCTTTTCCCTCTTCTTCTTTACACCTGTAGAGGTTGAGGTGATGGCAGCATCTGCTACCATATACCGCCTTGAAGGACCTGAATGGCGTGGCCTCGGCAATGCTTTTCAACCAAATTCCTCACACCACCTTAGCCGAAGTTCTCACGATGAAATCTTCTCGCCTTCTTTCGCGAGTGGCGAGATCCAAACGCCACTTTCCATTCGTTGGTGTACGAGTATGTATATGGCGGTTCATGTAACAGAAACCTGCAGAGGTTCAATGTAGGTATCGGACGGGGACAAGGCCATGGGACCATTTTTGCCGGAGCTGGGTGTAGACGAGGCCTCGGAGCGAAGCGATTGTACCGAACCATCTGTCCCTCAGGCCATGAACTCAGCAACCGACCTCTCTGCACGAATCGAGTGCTACTGCCGAGTCGACTGATATATTCGTTGAGGCCGAGCAGCGGCTGAGCCTCATCGCCAAGCCTACGGGTTCCGCGCGCTCTCCAGCGCAACACGAATGAGCCAAGCAGCAACACCGCCAAGCTCTCCATACCACGCCTCGCCGCTCTAAAAATGTGTTGGTTGAAGCTTGGCTATGGGCCCCTGCATGATACTTTTGGGTCTCTGAAGAATATTCATACTGCCATGCGTCTACTGACCTCTGTACGCTCTTTCCGTCGCAGCTCCCGTTTAGCATCAAAGCCAACGCAGCGGTTTAAGGACACGCCACTGGCCTCCCATCTCACGACTTGCTATGTCTTGCCAATCCGAAAAAGAAAATGCTACCTTGTTGGAATTGAAAAAGATCAAACTCGATGATGCCCGGGCCGATCTATTGTCTCACCCGGAACAAACTACCAGCGTTGTCACTATCGACCAGCGCGGCGATTTAACCCTTCGAATCGGCTCATCAAATCCCGACACCGTGAAGAAGAACTTCCTCGTCTGCTCAAGGACCCTCTCACGAATATCCCCAGTCTTGGAGCGAATGCTCTACGGCTTCTTTGGCGAGTCGATGGCCAGCGGCACCGAGCAGTGAGTGGTAAACTTACCGGAAGATGAGCCTGCATCCTTCGAACTGTTCCTCTACATCGCTCATGGCTACACGCAAAAGGTTCCCAACGAGCTGTCAATCGACAATTTATTCAATCTCACCAAGCTCACCCACTACTACGACGCCACCTTGCTCCTCAAACCATGGATCTCCCAGTGGATAGCGTCGCTTCGCGAACCCAAGGCAGACGACGAGATGCACATGTTCAAGATGCTGTGGATCGATCTCGAGCTTGGCCAGAGACGATCCTTTGGACTGACTGCGAGGAGAATCGTCATGGAGTCCTCTGGTCTTTACACGACTGAGGATGTCATGAGTGAGCTCGAAGTTTTTCCGGATCTGATTGGTATGTACTTTCCATCCAGCAACTGCCAGTTTCATTACGTTAACATCGTTCTTGCAGACCGAATTCAGAGAATCCGCGAACAGACCATCTTCGCCATGCTCGACCTCATCCGCAATCTCACCGAAATCCTCACGACCGTTGACGAAAAGCCGCGCTGGTGCAAGCACGCCTCATACATGGGACCACATCGCTGCGAATCCATGATCCTCGGCTCGATAGTCTTCTGCATGACAAGAGCTGGTCTGTGGCCGATCCCAGATGTCGAGAACGTGCAGGATAGTGTCGTCGGTCTATACCGAACTCTGATGAACCTCGTGATCCACGACATCGGACAGCCCGAGAGGAAAGGCGACGATCATCATGCTTGCAATCCGAAGCAGTTCCTGACCGAAAGGTTGCAACGCATCCTGGCTGAAATGGCTGATCCCGTGCTCGAATCGCATCGAAAGCAACTGGACACGCAGGCGAGGAAGTTGGGATCGAGCAGTTGATCAACCAACAGGCGGCAAGACCCACGTAACAACCGACGACTTGGGCAAACTCCCACTCCACATCTGCCCACTCCCCGTCTGCAACCTCACAAACACCGCACTCGTCAACGTATTCATCATGACCACCGTCCTCGTCCCATCCGGATTCAAACTCGCCACGGCCTGCAGTCCTGGTTTATGACTCGTCGGACTGCTCCCCTTGGTGCTCAACACGACCGCCCCTTTCGGCATGAACCTACTAAACTGCGCCATGAGATAATACGCAAGATTCAACGTATACGTCCCATCGTCGTTGATCCTCACCAACCCCTGGCAACTCGTACAACCGCCCGTCGACAAATGCGGACCATCCGTCGAGTTCGCCGCGAGGGTCCACGCGATGACTCCATTCGCCCAGTTCTGCAGGGGGCCGATGGTGAAGTTGGCGGCTTGGAACCAGTTGGATGAGTCGGTTGCGGGCGTCCAGCATTCGGTCATGTACTGCTTGAGGTTGGGAGTGGCGTTGATGTTGTTGGCCCGGAAGGCCGTCAGGACGGACCAGTCGACGTCTCCGGCATAGCAGTGCCAGGCAATGGTGTTGACGTATGAGGAGGCGGTATTGAGGACGGTTTGGGGGTAGGAGGGGACGTCTTGGCCACACAAAGTTAGTCTCGAGATGGAGAGGGTGTAGGGGAGAAGAATACCCGTATTATGATCATACGCCCAAACCCTCGTCCCCAGACCCGCAGCAGCCAACGCCGGCCCCACGAAATTCCTAATCAACCCCCCCTGCTCATAATCATACATATACATCGTGGGATACCCAGCCTGACTATTCAGCGGTTCATTCTGCAGCGTAATCGCATCCACCGCCACGCCTAAACTCGCGAAAGCTTGGATGTACTTGACGAAGTACTGCGCGAAGGAGGCGGAGTAGTCCGTCTCGCCGCTGTTGAGGTAGCCGTCTTGGAGGTTGTTGTTTGTCTGTGGAGGGATATATCAGCATCGTCACCACCAACCAACATATCGAATGTGCTGTTGATGATGGTAAGACTCACGACATCCCCAACAACCCGTCGATTCTTCTTCATCCACCCCGGCGCACTCCACGGCGAGCCCACGACGTAGAACGCCTCATTCTTCCCCTTCATCCTCGCGAGCAAATCCGCCATAGCGGTCCCTTGACTGGTCAACGTAAAATTCGACAACGAAGGATCCGGTCCATTATCATCGTATGTATAAGGCTCAGGCGAGAGATCCGACGCTCCGATGGTATGTCTCATCAGGCTGAAGTTCGCTCCGGAGGGGGTCATCAATGTGGTTAGGAGATTTTGTAGGGCAGTCGGGGAGAGTTGGCTCAATGTGATGACGGTCGCATCTGTGATTGCGGCGCCGAAGCCGTCGAGGGTTTGTTTGTAGCCGGACGGGGTGTCGTCGATGGTGAGGTTAAAGGTTTGGAGCGTTGTGGTGGTGGTGGTGGTGGTGGTGGTGGTGGTGGTGGTGTTGGTTTTGTTTTGGGTGGGGGCGGTTATGGTTGTGAGTTTGTATACTAGGTCGGAGGAGGTGCAGTAGGCTGATGCTTGGGGGGAGGCGTAACCTGGCGGTGCAGATGATTGGCCTGTGGACAACTCGAAAAGACATGATGAAGCTAGTAAGGCTGTTGTTGTTCTGCTGTACAAAGCGAGCATTGTGAAACGACAACGAATGTACCGTCTGAACCAGAATCTTCGACGAACGTGGGAGACATGTGGGATATACATGTCTTTCGGCATATGGAGTCTAGACGTATGTCCTCCCAGCACACACGACCTCCTTTTCACACTCCCAGTGGTTTGACTCCTTATGTGCAGTGCTAGCCTCGCAGCTCGACGGAAGTGGAACATCTATCCGACCCAAGCGGTATTGCATTGCATCCTGCGAGCGCCTCTGGAGGCATGGCTGCACCCATCTCGGCAGTTCTGTCTTCATCTCGGACGTCGAGATTGGGCGGTTGGAGGCGTGCAGTTGAGTGGATTCTGTTTGCTGGAATGCGATGTTTCCCGAACAGGAGAGGCCTGAATACCGACAGAATGTTTCGATAAACACTGCTGGAAAGTCTCTTGATTCGCGAAGTGTGTTCTTACTCGCATCAAGATTCTACGTATCGCAAACCATACCTCGCGCTTGAATCTCGCATCCTGCAGAAATTCACCAACTTCGAATCTCGAACTTGATCCCTGAAGAAATGGCGGGCGTCGTTCGGAAGGATTAAATGTCCGCAGTAAACAAACGGATGTATGCATTGATCGGCGTGTGGTTTCAGTGAGACATTCAATCCATTGTACCATGGGCGTTGCGATGCCCGCTGCAGGGCTGATTTTCAACCACCACCCAACCTCAACTTCGTGTGATGAACGATGTGGCACCTCAATGCAATGTACAAATCAGTCTTCAATGCTAGCTCGTCGTGATGGCGGGTATATAGACTCCGTGGAACAAACCTCGGTTTTGAAAATCGGTGTATGCTGAGAAAATGAAGCGATTCGATGAGATTGTGAAGAAGATCGAAGGCGCTTAATCACGAAGAATCATCCCCATCCACGATACGATGCGGCTGTCGGCTCGTCGTCTGTTCGGACATTTTAGCCACTGCTACCAACTCCCACAAGGGGCGAGAAGCTCACTCACGCACAAGTCGCTTTCACTCACCCACTTTCGCCACCCAACCTCAACCCCAACTCCCAGCAGTCAACCGCCCTCGCCACAACAATCACCCACCCTTTTCAATCCACAAACGTCCACCGCCTCTCAACCCTCAAAAGCAACCCAGGATCCACCATCCTCGTATTAACCCCCATCTCGCGACTCTTCGCCAACCCCTTCTCCGTCGGCCACCAAAACACCACCCCACCACACTGCTCACAAAAATGAAACTCACACTCGCGATCGCCCCAGATGTATTTCTTCGTGGAGGCGCCCTCTCTCCGGTCGATCGAGACTTCGTCCACGGTGTAGTAGCCCCAGGCGCCGCCGTAGCGGTGGCAGACGCCGCATTGGCAGTCGTTGATGTAGGCCGGGAGGTGCGGGGCGGTGATGGAGATGGAGCCGCAGTGGCAGGTTGCTGTCATGGGCATTGTGGTTTGAGGAAGGTGGATGGGTGTTGAATCTGTTTTGTTGGAAGATTGGCGTTCCCTCTGTTTTCTGGAATGAGGTGTAGTCTTTTTGAGCGCTGGAGTAGCTGCTTGTGTATCTTGTGCGACTTGAGTAGGGCGTGGGTGATGACCAATCCGTGCTGGTGATTGTTAAGGACCTTTCATGCCAGCCTTACAGGTTTGACGAAGCTTGATAATGTTAGTATGCTGTATGGTATTCTTCAGTAGTGATGGCGTGCCAGTGTGTTGACATTTTTATCTTGCCATTGAAAAGTGGAGAGAATGCGGCTCGGATTCGCCAATGCCCTCAGGCTGCAGCGGGGCTTGATTGGGTCGGATGCCTGAAGTACCAATGTACATACATATTAGAGAAAGTATACAAATGCCATGCCATCCATCGCTATGCTTTCAACAATCATCTCTGTGTACCCCTAATTCCGGTGCAGAATCTCTAAGCGACACCAGTGGTCTCAGTCTCAAGAACCTTGAAGTTTGGCTCCTGGAGATCGGCCTGGTCGCTGGTGGCAGCGTAGACGGTCTGCTGGCCGTAGTAGCGGTAGACGGCCGTCTCCTCGGGGTACTGCACCTCGTACTGCAGGTTGAGCTCGTTGGTGTCCTTGACGATGTAGGCGTAGATGGCCTGGGTGTCGCTGACGTTGCCGCACTGGACGTAGTCGGTGTCCTCGTCCAGACCGCCCTCGCAGTGGACGGGCGTGTTGACGGCGGGGTGGTGGGGTCCTTCACCCTCCACGGAGACGTCCAGGTACCAGTAGCAGCCGGTGGTGCAGCCGAAGACGAAGTTGGTGACGTTGAAGGCGTAGTCTTGGGTGTTCTCCGCGACTGGGGCGGCGGCGGCCAGAGTTGCGGCGCCGAGGGCGAGGATGTTGGAGTAGAGCATTGTTGTTGTATGTATTAGGATTATGCTGTAGTAATGTAGCGTTGGATGCTGAAGTTGTTGTTGTTGTTTGACTGGATTTGAGAGTAGTGAGTGTGGGATGATACTTTGCTATGATCAGGCGAAGGACAGGAGACTTTATACCACCCTGCTCGACGTCATGGATCAATACTGGAGCAAGCAAGGGACTGCTGGGTATACGAGAGGGCCCTTGGCTAGTAGATCGTGAGGGTAATTTTAGCAATTCTCCGACTGCCCGAACTTCATCATGGCTGTGCTCGAGACCAGTCTTGCTGCGGCGAGCAAATTCATTTGCCTTCGAGGCTGGTCATTTTCAGACGCATTATCGGCGCTGGCGAAGAGTTTGAAAGGAGGAAGAAGGAGGAACAAACATTGATATTGTTGATGATCCTGCAGGATCAAGGTCTTTCTGCGCGACATCGCTGTCCAATCACATGTCACTTCATCTCACGGCTAAATCTCCCGAGGGATCCACTCTTGGCAGCATTCGCTTGTCTTGGACGACATCACTCCATCAACTTCTCCTCGCACGGCAGAGCATGTGTACGGGTTGCCGTAGAGAGGCTGTGCCGTGTTTCAAAGTCATTCAGTACGAGCTAAACTCCCGCCTTTTCTGGAACATATCACATGGATCAGCCTTTCAGAAACACGAAGTCTCGTTCAGACTCCATTCACATGCACAGGTCTCACAGTAACACGGGGAAGTTTGGGGAAATGGTGAGAGACTCTTCAGTCTTCAGCTGCTTTCACAGGCCTTTCGATACCGGCAACTTATCTTACAGCAAGCTCATGCGTCTTCCCTTCGCCAAAGACATCTGCTTTGTCTCCCTCGCACATTGATTCGGCCGCAGGCAAGTCCATTCCCACCCTCTACTCTTGTTTCGCTCTTGGAATCTCTTGCTCAGTCTGCCTCATCGATAACAAGCAGCACCACCATCACTCCACTTCTTCATCCACTTCTTCATCCACATCTTCACTCCTCCACCTTTCAATCGTCTCCCACCTCGCCGCGGACCAGACCGACAACAACATAGTCCGGGTCCAGCACCGTCAAACGGTCATTGTGCGTGTAACACAGGCGCACCCACATGCCGACAAAGTCCTTCCTCATGCGCTTGTCCCACGTCTGGTTGACCTGCGAATAACCACTCGCCAAATCCTCCAACTGCTGCTTGCGAACTAACGGGAGACGATGCTGGAACTCAACCGGCCACGCAGTGAGACTCTCCGCTTGCTGGAAGATCATCGCCGGAGGGGTTGGCACCAGTGAATACGTCTGACGCAGCTTGGCGACCGCCTCTGGTGGGAAAGGGACAAGCTCGACCTCGTGCTTCGTCGCAATCAGCGTTTTGTTGTGCTCCCAGACGACTTGGATGTTGAACTGCTCGATGCAGGCGATCTGGTCCTCGGGCTCCAAAGTTGACACGCATTGGTTGACGAAGGGCAGATGTTTCTGGATGCAGGCCTTGCGCTGCTCTGGGGCTCGCGGTCTGCCGCTGTCAGTGTTCTTCACACCCGAGGCCATGACGGCGATGCGCTTCATGATGATGGTCTTGGCGGAGTCGGATGCGTCTTCGATCTTCAAGTCATTCTTCGGCAGACTCTCAGGAATCGGCGCAGGCAGGGACTCGATGTAATCTGGCTTGAGCCTGGGATCAGTGTTAGATGCCTCTCCGATCTCCTTGGTGATCGTCAGGTGCTGGATCGTGGTCTGCTTCAGCCGCGGCGCCATGGTTGCTGGCTGAGGTCGATGCGATGAGCTTGGTAGCACCGGGTCTGGAAGATCATCCAGGTCGATGGGATCGTTGTATGTGGTGCCAGTGCCCATCGGACTGTCATGTCGAATGTTTCTGGAGTGGTTGTTGCGAGGCATCCCGTTGCCAGGGAGACCCATTTTGTGCAGATGAGGAAGGTACGTCAAGTCGAATCGAATATTAGCAATCTCTTTTCCTCGAAGAATACAATACTACTTTCAGAGTAGATGCACTTTCGTCAGAGGATGTGGGTTGTCGTTTTTGCTGTTGGAAAGCTTCGAGGTGTGGTCGACGATTTCCTGAACTTCTCTGTCTTGGAACTTGGGCAACTGCGTTCGAACTCGGTGACGAATAAAACACTATCATGGCGAGGACGAACAGCGCGATGTATACTGCCTGGAGGAGTCACACGACACTTGCACATTGTGTTAAGCGTCGTAAGTGCGCAGCAAGTGAATTGAATGGCCACGACTTCACTTCTGTCGTGTTGGTGAGGAGGTGAAGATGAACCACTTCAGAGCTATTCAGAATATTTACTACGTTCTCATGGTTTTAATTTATCTAAGGTATCAATCTTTAGAGTTTATGTTGTGAATACGAACGTGGATGTTCAGACTTCACTTCCCCCGTCACCGGCTTTCCTCGATCACATGCTTCGACCTCACGCCTTCACACCTCCTATTCGATGTTGGTGAGGTCACATGACTAAGAGCGTCAGCACGATGGTCATGCCGTGGAGATAGACGTACCCCGAGGTGGTCGAGGCAGCACCTCCAAGCTGCAGCATCCCTAAGCAGAAGAATAGTAATTCCGGGCTGTTGTTCCATTGTCGCTTACAGGCAACTACTGTCCGCGTTGCAGTCGACGTATATCTATATTTCCGTTGCTCGATGCGTGCGTGTGAGTGTGGTGGATCAGCAGCAACGGATATATAACCTGCCAGAACCTCATTCGTGCGGGCGGCTAGCGGCGAACTTTCCTAGTGTCCAATCGCGCACGGGCCAAAATCAGCGTCGCGACGAAGATTTTGGCCCGTGCGCGCTGTAGAGCAGCTTTCTTTCCCGCCGTAGTTCCCGCAGTTTGCACCTTCCTCTCCACATACAACGGTGGCCGCTATGCAAGACAACATATATAGTCCCGACGACGACAATAGCGACAAGCTGGCACGCTAGGCAGAGTTATCGTTGCACTATAGTGAACAGAAGCTAGCCGAGCTTAGTCCAGACGCTGCGTTCCAAGATGCCGCAATTTAAAGCTACATCAAAAAAATCGGAAAGTTCCGCCGAAGAGTCCGTCCTTCTGGCGATGGCCTATCCACGGTCGAGCAACGGAAACTCGTCGATAGAGTGACAAGCGACATTGCCACTGCCGCGCCGACCGCTCCAGAATAGTTATTCGGCGAGTGGAAGTTGTTGCGGGGAAGGACGCTCGTTCAAGACTACCTCGAACACGAGAGGAAATGCCTTACCGAAGCCCGGATCGTGGCAGTGCTCTTCCAGCATGTTGTCGACGAACGCAGGAGACAAGCGGAAAATCTGCTTTCACAACACATCTCATGCTCATCGCCTCGACACAAGACATGCAGTCTACGCCTCTCCTCCTTCGCTCTGTTATGGGTCTAAAGCTCTTCTCCGCATAGGACAAACAGACGCACATATCGCTGGCGTGAACTGAATCATCATTTCCCTTCCACCTCCTCAATTATATGCTCAACCTCGTCCTCTCCCGTCACGCCACCCCCATTACCTCCTCCAGACCAAATGAATTCTCCATCACGACCTCCATTCCCGCCGCCCTCCATGGCCGTGTGATAATGAAGGTAAGCCGTCACGAACATAGACGTCTCTTCTCAAAATCGCCACCAAATACTACCACACCTGTGCATTTTCATCGAGCCAGTCAGAAAACGACGGTGAGATGGAAGCCCTTCTGCGAGGACAGCCAAGTTATATCGTTACAGTTCTTGTTCATACATCAATCTTGATGTCCAAAGGTAAGGTCAGTAGTTAATTACGAGAAGACAGAAACGTCTGCGTCAAGTCAGTCATGTATAAAAAGGGGTCAGTCGTCGGGAAGGAATTAGTTAGATGGAGACCTTCAGCTACAAGAAAAGCCAAGTGATATTCCAACAGTCTAAGTTGATGTATGAACGTCCAGGCTTCTAAAAGTGAAGTGCAAGAAGACACATTCGCATCGAGTCAGTCATCGAAGGGAAGGGGTCAGTTATATGAAACCATTCGGCGGTACCTCAAAACAGTCAAATGATATTCCTGCAGTCCATTTGAATGCACCACTATCCACTTTTTCAACATTCAAACCCGAGAAGACACATTCCCATCAAATCAGTCCGAGCAAAGAGGTCGAAGAAAGCATTCGGAGCAAGAAACAGCCGAATGATACACAATCCATTCGTTCGACACAGAAATGTTCCAAACTTCGACAAGCTAGTCGACTACAAAAAGAACTTGAGACTGCTATCCTGCTCCTACACAGTCATTTCATCCAGCAAACCAGCTCAATCCTGGTCCCATCCAGCATGTTCCATAGTCCAAGCAACCAACCAAATACTCAATACCCAAGCACTAAACAGCCAAGTCCCTCCTCATCACCATCCATTACATCCTCCACTATCCCCTTTCTCTCTCACAAACTCATCCAACAACAACCCCCCTCCGCACCTCCCCCGCAAACCCCAACCCCAACGCCCTCTCCCGTTCCTCCCTCTCCCTCCTCACCAACTCCTCCAACAAATCCCTCGTACTCCCCCTCTCCAACCCTCCACCCAAACTCCCCACCCTCTGCCCATCACACCGACTCAACAAGCTCACACTCGCCCGATGCCCCTTCCAATCATCCAGCACCGTCACCGAGGGGAACTTCCTGATCCTCACACTCGACACCGCGGAGGACGAAGCGCTCGAGCGTGGACGTTGCTGCAGGCAGGATTGTTGGTTTTGGCGGGACCACTCAGTTGCGCCATCGAGGGGGCCGGGGCCTTCTTCGTCTTCGTCCGGCGGTGTTGGGCTGTCGCTGTGGGCGCGGAGGTGGAAGGTCTCCTGGCGGAAGAGGTCGTTTGCTGGGGCTTTGCCTTTGTCCATTGCGATCTTGGGGGGAGATGGTTGTGGGTGGTGGATATGTTCTGCGATGCTGCGTTCGAGATGCTCCTCCAGCTCGTGAAGATGCGCGTGGTTCATATGGTGGTGATGGGCTTCGGCGCCGGGCATGGGAGAGACCATTTCGAGTTCCGGGTGTGCGACGCTGCCTGTGTTTGCTGATACGGATGTCCGACGATTCGCGCCGCGGAAGCCTTCACCCCGGGAGAGCATGTCTTTGTAGTACTGCACGAGATTGCTGAAGGCGCGGGAAGGTGATCTGATCAAAGAGCGGTTCGACTTGCGGCTGCCGCGCGTGGTGGAGGATTTGCTGAGTGGTGATATGGGTGCGGTGGAGGGATCGACGTTGGCGAAGTCTCGTGTGATGACATTGTCGATTCGTCCTGCAGAGCTGCAGCGTTCAATCCGAGTGTGAGATGGGAACTTGGACCATGATGCGAGGCTGGTGCCGATTCTTGGTGATGTCGATGATGGCTGGCGCTTGGAAGGGGACGTACTGCTGGTGGTGGCTGCTTTGCGTTGTCCACGTGGACTTTCGTCGAAGGTGGTGACCACACTTGGCTTCCTCATCGGCGTCGAGCCACCTGCTTGTGGAAGTTCCAGCAGCGTGGTGGCACTCTCACTCGGCTTCAATCCAGTCTGATCAAGAGGATCGAGCAGTTCGTTGTGTTCCCGAATACTTGGCGGAGGAAGACTGCTCCCAGCAGCTGGACCAAACGAAGAGGTGAATATCGGTAAAGAGATATTATGCTGAGCCAGACTCTCACGACGCTTGCTCTCAGACCGGAACATGGCCTTTTCCTGCTGATGCTTCTTTAAAGCCTGGCCCATGAGTGTCTTGCCAGCTTCGTCAAGCGCGTGAGCACGACTGAGCTTGCGGCGGAGACGACTTGATTTCTCCTCTTCGACCTCGTCCTCAGATATGTCGTGCAGCTTCTGCAAGTTTGGAGCGCTGACGGCTGATGGTGTGATGACGGATGGCCGTCGACGATTATCTCCGCCGAAGGTGAGGTTACGCTCGTATTCTACGAGGGTTGGTCGTCGCTCCTGGGGCGTGTTCGTCGCAGTGAAGGATCGTCTGCCATCAAAGTCAGCCAACATGAGTCTGAGTGGTAGCTGTATCATACCGATGCATCGGATTCTCCGTCAACTCATACTGAACTGTAAGCGTATCCCTCCGATCCCTCTCATCACCAGGCCCATCGTACGCTCCAGACCGACTAGTCGACGGTCTCGTCAACAGCATCGGCGAAGAAATACTGCGGAACTGTTGTCGTCGACTCCCGGGCCGCAAGAACCTGAAGATCGAGCGACGCTTCTTGACCGTCTTCCTCGGTGGTGACTTGACGGGTGAAGTAGATGATGATGCGGTGGTAGTCGTCTCGGCGACTGGAGTTGGCGGCAAAGGCTTATTCTGCAACGACTGGGCCGAGAGCCGTGGTGTATTCGACTGCTTCGAGGTATCTGCTTGATCATCATGCGCCTTCAATGGCCATTCGGCGCAGACAGTAGCGTTGAGATCGTTGGGTATGTTGGAAAATGGTGCGTCTTCTGCACTGGTGCCAGGTCTGGTGTAGACTGACGGACTGTACCCCTCAGCTCTCCTCGTTGAACCCGTGGGTAACGGCGGTGTTGGGCTTCGAGAGATGTTCCATGGGTGAGCATCTAAGTAGCCTTGTATATCAGGATGGTCGGCTCCAGAGTCAGCCGACATGGCTGAAGTACACTCAATCGCTCGTCTGATGGCGACCGGGTCAAGATGAGAGCTTTGGCTTCGTGGTAGCCCGTCTTGACCGTACTGCCCACTCGCATCACCATTTGACACTCTTGCAGATGGATCAGTGTTCTCATCTCCAGATCCACCCCTACTCGCTCCAGCACCAGCTCGCGACAACAACGCTCCAATACTGAAGCTCGAATTGCTCTTCCCTCTCGCCCTCATCTTCGGGCTGGCAACAGCGAGCGGCGACAGCGACTCTCCATCAGTCGTTGTGATGGCCTGTCCAATGAGCGGGTAAGCAGATCTCGTCTTTCGCAGAGGTCTCGACTCCGATACGTCTTCACCAGGTCCCTAGCCCCAGAGAAGATTCGGCGAGCTGGCAGCTTTCGGGAGGCAGGATTCTTCGAGGCGGGCGGCGACACGCATGGCGATGTCTGCGACGTCTTCGTAGCTGGTCGGTGATCTGTATCTCATTGATCAGCTCATGTCTTCAACGATAGTCAAGAAGAGAAGAAAGACGCACTCAATCAATCCAGCCTCAGCATCATCCACCACTCCCTCCTTCCCCTCACCAACCCCCTCCAAAACCTCCACACTCCCCAAAACCCTCGCATCCTCATCATACCTCCCACTCCTCGGCAGACTCCCCAAAAGCTCTCCTTCCTGCATATCCACCACCTCCTCATCAACCCCATCAAACCCCTCCCTCAACACCCCCCGACTCCTCCTCCCCAACCTCATCCGCACCTTATCCACCAACCTCGGACTCCTCAAAATCCCACCCCCCACCCTCGTGACCTCCGAATGCCGTCGTCTCGGTAAGAATCTCAAAGCATGGGGGTGATCGGACGGTAAACTCGCGACGGCGAAGATGGTTTCGTCGATGCCGGGTGGTGGGCGGTAGGGCGGGGTGGGCGATTCGAGTTGGCGGGGGTGTGTGCAGCAGAGGTGGGCTGCCATCTTCGATCAAGTGAGAAGATGTGGTGAGGTGTGGTGAGGTGAGGCGTGAAGTGAGTAAGATGTACAAAGTGATGTATCAATGCGGCAATGAAGCGCTCTCCAACAAGTCCAAGACGGGAGGAAACAAGAGTCGCGCTATGCCAATGGTGTGGAAAATCGTGAAGTTGGTGGCAACATTCGAAGAGATGCAGTGTAAACACATGACTGCCACCTGCCACTGATCAAGTGAAAGGAGAGCGGCTTCTTGGTCCAACAGTATTACATTCGATGGCAGCTGCTACTCTATGAAAGGGTAACTCCCACCCATGCATCATCCATCATACTTTTTTCTCTCTTTGTTGAAACCACGGCCCGCGAGACATCAAAAGACAGGCAGTTTAACCTTCCTCTGACCCATCTCGCCGGGCATCGACGACGAAACGTTGAGAGTCGTCGATATCCTCGTTTCAATCCTATAAAAACAAACTTTTCTTTTCTTTTTCATCATCATCTCCCTCCCATTCCTGTTGAACTCCTCGCTGATAAGACGTTGAGTATGAGTAAACTCGGGTATCACAGTGTTGAAAATGGCAAAGCCGGGTTGAGTATGGCTGCCACGGAAAACAAACATAAGTCTAAATCATCCCTTCCCAAAGAAAGCACCGTTTTGTGGGTTTCCTTTCTTCACTTGCGCCGATGTACGCCGACGATGATCTAGAAGTAGGTCGAAAGAAGCGTCTACTTCTGGTACTTCTGGCGGAAGTACTGAGCGGCAGACACCATGTTGCTGAGCGCAGCCTTGGTCTCCTTCCACTGGCGGGTCTTGAGACCGCAGTCGGGGTTGACCCAGAGCTGGTCAGGCTTGAGGTACTGGAGCATCTCCTCGATGCGGTCCTTGATCTCTTGCTCGCTTGGGACACGTGGGCTGTGAATGTCGTAGACACCGGGGCCGATGTGGCGTGGGTAGGCCTCGTCGATGAAGACCTTGAGGAGCTTGGCGTCAGACTTGCTGTTCTCGATGGAGAGGACGTCAGCGTCGAGAGCGGCGATGGCGTGGAAGAAGTCCTGGAACTCGGAGTAGCAGAAGTGGGAGTGGATCTGGGTGGAGTCCTCAACACCGGCGGTGGAGAGCTTGAAGCTGTCGACAGCCCAGCTGAGGTACTTCTCACGCTCAGAGCCGGCACGGAGTGGCAGACCCTCACGGAGAGCTGGCTCGTCAACCTGGATGACGTAGATGCCGGCCTTCTCGAGGTCGACGACCTCGTCACGGAGGGCGAGGGCGAGCTGCTGAGCCTGGATCGACTGGTGAACGTCGTCACGGGGGAACGACCATCGCAGGCAGGTGATTGGGCCAGTAAGCATACCCTTCATGGGCTTCTTGCTGTTCTCGGCGGCGAACTTGCTCTCCTTGACCGTCATGGCCTTGGGGCGAGAGACGTCACCAACAAGGATTGGTGGACGCACGCAGCGGGAGCCGTAGGACTGGACCCAGGCGTGGGTGGTGAAGACATAGCCGTCAAGCTGCTCACCAAAGTACTGAACCATGTCGTTACGCTCTGGCTCGCCGTGGACGTAGACGTCGAGGCCGAGCTCCTCCTGGATGGCGATGCAGTCGAGGATCTCCTTCTCGATGAACTTCTCGTACTCCTGGGCGGTGATCTCGCCCTTGGCGAACTTGTTACGCTGGATACGGATGTCCTTGGTCTGGGGGAAGGAGCCGATGGTGGTGGTTGGGAACTCGGGAAGCTTGAGGTGCTTCTTCTGGGCTTCGTAACGGGTTGGGAAGGCGTTCTTGCGCTCGTAGTCGGCCTTCTGGACGGCGTCGACACGCTTCTTGACGTCTGGGTTGTTGGTTCTCTTGGAGGTGGCACGTGACTGCATGCTCTTTGCGTTGGCCTCGAGCTCGGCCTTGACGGAGTCTGGGCCGTTGGTGACGGCCTTGGCGAGGATGGCGACTTCAGCGGCCTTCTCCTTGGCGAAGGAGAACCAGTCGCGGACCTCCTCGTCGAGGTTCTTCTCGCTCTCGAGGGTGTGTGGGGTGTGGAGGAGGGAGCTGGAGGTGGCGACGATGACACGCTCCTTGCCGAGCTTCTGGATGGCGGTCTCGACAATCTCAATGGCACGCTGGAACTTGGTCTTCCAGATGTTACGGCCGTCAACAACACCGGCAGACAGGATCTGCTTGGGGCCGAGGTGCTCAATGACCTTCTCGAGCTGTTCTGGGTGGCGGACCAGGTCGACGTGGAGGGCGTAGGTGCCGGTCAGGGCAGAGTCGATGACATCGAAGTTGTGGACAATGTCACCGAAGTAGGTGGCGAGGACGAGCTGAGGGCCGGCCTTGCCCTGGAGAGCGGTGAGCTTCTCGTAGGCGGGCTTGAAGGCCTGGCGGGTCTTGGCTGGGAGATCGAAGACGAGGACTGGCTCGTCGATCTGGACAGTCTCGGCACCGGCCTCCTTTAGCTTGGTGAGCAGCTCCTCGTAGACGGGGAGCAGCTTCTCGAGGAGAGTGATGGGGTCGACGGTCTGGTTGCGGTCCGCCTTTCCGAGGTGGAGGAAAGAGACGGGGCCGAGGAGCACAGGGCGGGTCACAATGCCGGCCTCCTTGGCCTCGAGGAACTCAGCAACAGGCTTGGGGTTCTCGGAGAGCTTGAAGGTCTGGCCGTCCTGGAGGGTGGGCTTGACGTAGTGGTAGTTGGAGTCAAACCACTTGACCATCTCGAGCGAGGGGACGTCGACGTTGTCCTTCTGGATACCACGGCCCATGGCGAAGTACTCGTCGAGCTTGTGCAGGTTGTGCTTGCTGTAGCGCTCGGGGATGGCGTTGAAGAGCTGGATGTGGTCAAGGACGTGGTCGTAGTAGGCGAAGTCGTTGCTGGGGATGACATCGACGCCGGCGTCCTTCTGGATCTTCCAGTGCTCGAGACGCAGGCGCTTGCCCTCGGCGAGCAGCTCGTCGCGGCTGAGCTTGTCGGCCCAGTACGCCTCGTTGGCCTTCTTGAGGTCACGCAGGCGACCCATGCGCGGGAAGCCGAGGACGGATGACTGCACCATGGTGGCGGTGGGGTGTGGACTGCCTGTGCTGGTGGTGGCGGTGGTGGTCAAAGGTGAGAAAGTGAGGTTATAGCAGTGAAAAGAGGGAGAATTGGCGGGAGGGATGTCAGAGAAAGGACGAGAGTTGCGAGACGAATGGCGGAATGTTATTATGTAGCCAGGGAGCTGCTGTTTCGCTGAGCGTCGTCGACTTTTTTCACCCCCACCAAAAACATCCACAGCTCCTTCCTCACCTCGCACACTCCCCGCCATCGGCGCTCCGGCACGTCATCGGCTCACCACCAGCCATCCACGTCCCGCACTGCATCTCTGTTCACCGGCCGATCCTTGCTGGAAGGGGGACAGTACTGAATGAAGTCACAAATCGCAGTCCATCAATTCATCAATCAAATCATTCCACCACCTCCCCTCATCTCCTTCACTCACACAGCATGTGCTGCATCGTTCCTGCCTCATTCCCCAGACCCACGATATCCACAGGCACATTCCAATTCCACAGTCGGTACCCGCCGGGGACTTACAGTCGGTGGAATATCAAACTCCGGCGAGCAAGCAGCAACAGCAATTCGCACAGCGCCCTGCATCCCTTCGCTGAGCGTGAACCGTCGCGATGCTTATCTTGGACATCCTTCCCTTATCTTCTCGCTCCTGCCCACGTTCTCACTCCCTCCGTCTGTCTGTTGTCCCTTCCTTTCTGCGGCTGGATTTGTGAACCACGAGCTCCCACCTGATCCCTGTCGCGCCCTGATTCTAAGCTGACCCACATGAATAGCACCTCACTCCTCCCCTGGTCTCCCTCTAGGGTCCGACTTTTACCGCACATCTTCAGATGAAGAGCAAGCAACTTGACAAGAGACGGAAAGAGGAAGAGCATTATGGGTATATATGAAAAAGAAGGAAGTCACGACCGCGGACAAGGCAAAACCCCTCACAAGCTGATGCTGGGCCATGCAGCCATTGGGGACATTGCACAAGATGGCCTGAAACAAACCATGCAGACTGTCTCACCGACTTCGACAGCCACAGCTCAAAGCAGCTCACGTTTCCAGTTGCTGCACCTCCAGCAACACCACCTGTCTGTGTCGGACATCGGTTCCCGTGGGTCGGCCTCCGATGCATAAAACAGGCCTCTTGATTGGTCAATTGCATCTTGAGCATCCTGCTGATGCACAGGCAAGCACGTCTTCTGCAGTCGAGAATGCTGTACTTTGACGTGATGGCAGGTAGGTTCAACTTCGCTTTTCATACCCTTCAAGCGACATTCCCCTCAAGTAGAAGCGGCCGACAGTGACTTCAAACATTCGTCGTGGATCAGCCTGCCCAAGAAGCAATCGAGGGCTGGAGGACCAGAAGCAGTAGACCTTGTCACTGGCAGATCAGCAGGCTGACCACGCTCACTTCATTCGACCCACGAGCACTTCGAGCCGAGACTGATGCAAGCTACGCTGGAGGAAACACCTTCGCAGATAACCGCAAGTCGCCCAAACTTCGTTGTAGCAGCGCGGTGCCTGGGCCTATATGAACCTCATCTCCAGTAGACACTGATGGCTCACTTTAGATCCTGGCACTGACCGCATCTTACATCAAGACCGGTGTGATGACGAAGGATTGATATCAAAAAGCCTTTACAAAATATCAACGCTACTCACCTCAAACCCACGCGAGTCCACCTCCCTCCCGACTAGAAGCACAATCCTGCGCTGAAGTAGAAGATTGTTCCCCTCGCCTCCCCTAAACCTGACCCTCGGATGATCTGTATAAAGCGAGCCGTTTGCGCGGGAGCGTGCCACAGATTTCCCCTCAGGCGAGAGTTGCGATCGGATGTAATGTTGTCTCCGTTCCTCTGCGCGGATGAATGAATAGGTTCGGTGGTAGACTTGACGGCGTAGGTTTCTTGCGCCGCTTGTGCATGGTTGATGAGAGCTGGAGACTGTACTCGAGAGAAGTCTATGCAGATGTTGACGTTACGATGTTGTGGAGAGAGTTGTCGCGGTGTGACCGCAGTTCATCTCTACTTACTTACCGTTTGAGCACATCCAATCCATCTGTCTATCTACGTGTCTCTTGTTTCGCTGCGCACTCGCCAAGTCGAGGGAAAAGTTAGACTCCTGAATATCCAATCGACGAACATTCGCACCAGCTATATACATCCACATCCCTCCCAACCACAACAGATCCCTCGTACACACTCAAAAACAACAACATAAACAACACACAACCCACCCGCGCGTCCCGCCCCCCAACTCGCCCAAACCCTCCACTACCATCCCCAAACCCACCTCTCAAACGCATCCAACTTCCCATCTCTCTCCCTCATCTTCCACCGCCCCGTCATGCAAACCCCCTCCCCCCTCACCCTCGCCCAAAACACCCCCAAAATCTTCCTCACCTCCTCCCTCGCCGGCCCCTCACGCATCCCCTCCTTCCAATGGCGATACAGCGTGTACAACACCCCCAGATGAGGACGATGCGCTTCGGGCTGGGGAAGCAGGGCGATGGCCGTGGAGATTTCTTGATCTTGGGGGATGAGGGCGGAGATGGCGGTGAGGTACGCGGTGAGGTGCGTTGTCCAGGCTGGGGTGTATGCGGGAGAGAGGTGGATGCGAAGAGTCCGGGTGTGCTCCGCGTCTGCGTCGGGGTCGACGGTGAGAGATTTCAGTTTCGTCGGCGGGAGGGATTTGAGGAGAGTTATCAAATGGCTGTGATCGAATCCTTCCACCCTCGTTACGACGTCGACGGCGGCGGTGCGTAGGAACGTCGAGATCTCGCGTCGGAGTTGGGTGTTCACCTGCCCGAGGGGATGTGTGCTGTAGAGGGAGGGGGATTTTTCTCCATTCGAGCTGTTGGGGAGCAGGTAAGCGCGTGGTCGTTCTCCGACGAGAGGACGGGCTTTGTCGGAGTGGTGGCGGAAGAGGATTTCATGGCCTTTGACTATGATCGGTCCTTCTGGGCGTTGGAAGAGGTGTTCGAAGATCTGCTCGAGGAGCTCGTAGGGAAGGGTGAGTAGAGACGCTTTAGGTCGTTCGGACGTGGCTTGCATCGCCATATTCCTGAGCAGAGAACTTGTGACAGACCAGTTTGTTGTTATACTTATTCAATCGTAAAGCGACTCTCATCCCTGGGGCGCAGGAGTGACTCATGACCAGGTCCGATCAATCTAAATAGGTTTTTGCTGCGGTCGCTTCTATTAGTTTAGGTCTTGACGCACCTAGCTATGTGAGTAAGAAACCGAATCAGGAATTTAAGTGACTAGCGGGGGCTGTGCTCGAAAAGGTGGTTGTATGTATTTGAGTCAGCTTGCGGTCCAAGATTGGTCAAGTACGTAGCTCTACTCGTTTTGAGATGGCAGGATCAAGGCTAGCCTCCATTGATGAAATATCGTACTGAGCTCTGGATATGTCTTCATCCTCGCGCTTTTCAATTTCTCGCTTCATTTCGTGTCTCCACCTTTGCAGGATTGTTGTTTACGACCATCATCAGACATCACCGACCTCAAGTATTCTCCAGAACGCCTTGCTTTTTATGCTGAGCCATGCCACCCAAACGTCAAATGTGCTCACCCTCTATCATGACATTTTTCCTTCACCTCCCACTAACCACATTCAAAACCCCACCATCAACCGCCATTATGTCCCCATTAACATACGCATTCTTCGCAAACTGCAACACCGCCATCCCTATCTCCTCATCCCTCCCCGCCCTCATCAACGGCACATGCCCCGTCTGCTCAATCTTACCCTCAGGAAACCCGCTCTTATTCTTCTCATCGCTCTCCTTGGCCGTCATCTCCGAAGGGAAGTACCCAGGCGCGATGGAATTGATGCGGATCTGCAATTTCTGGAATTCGGCCGACATGAGTTTCGTGAGGTGCACGGTAGCGCCTTTGGCGGCGTTGTAGGAGAAGTGGCCTTGGGCGTGGCGCATGAGGCCGGACATGGAGGAGATGGTGATGACGGAGGGTTCGTACGGTTCGACTTTGCTCTCTTCGCCGTTGCCGCCGACTTCTTTCTTCGTCTGGCCGATGGCGGCTTGGAGAAGAGGTAGGAAAGCGACGGTGGTGAAGTATACGCTCGTGACGTCCGTCTCCATTGTCTGCTGCCACTCCTCTACGCTCTCATTCTCCCACAGCGTCTTCTTCAGATCACTCGCAGTCTCTTCTTTCGGCTCGGCTTTGGGACCTGCCACGCCAGCATTACAGACCAGCACGTTGATGTACTTCTCCTTCTTCGACAGCTCCTCCACTATCCGCTGGAGATCCTCCTTCTTCCGTACGTCACAGGGTCCGAGAGGAATGATCTGACCGCCGGTGCGCTCTTGTTCGGGCGAGTGGTGCTTGGCGGCGTTTTCGAGGACTTCAGCACGGCGGCCGGTGATGTACACTTTGGCTCCGTTGGCGGCGAGGGCTTGCGTGGCCATGAGGCCGATTCCTGGTAGTATTTAGTACATGCCTGACGAGAGTACTGCGAATGCTTGTGACATACCTGTTGCTCCTCCGGTCACGATGCAGACATAGTCCTTGACTGAGAAGAGACGATTAACGTCGAAGTGGTGAGTTGCAGCCATTGTTGCAGATGCAGTTGGTTGGCGTTGATGACGACCCAGATGTGGTTATGCTGGTGATATGAATGATTCTGTAGAGTTTAGGCCTCTTTCTCTTGCTTTGTTTTGAAGAGGCTTGTTGGATCTTTGCCGTCATCCATTTGATTGAAGAACTGCGGGCCATCATAATGACGTTGAAGTGCTGGGATTTGGCTTTTACCGATCGCCAGGAACAAGACACGATCTCACGTGCTCAACATCGAGACATCACTCTTGAAAAGTTCGACAATGCTTGTGCAGTCTACGAAACGGTGAGTTTGATTTCTCGGTGGTGGGTTACGTACTATCGCCGTGTTGTATCCCCAGGTATCGCTTCATTCTACGCCTCCATCCCGTCTTCCATGCCAACTTCAATCTTGCGCTTCCATGAAATCAGACATTACCTCCCCACGCCCCATGGAAGCAGGTATCCATTCGCCGCTCATTCCTTCTATCTGTCTTGTCTGTCCGTTGGCATCTGTTTCGTAGGTTTGGTGACCTCATCGACTGGATCAGCCCAAACGCTCGTCTTGGGGATGGGGAGCCTGCAATGTCTCGCGGGCTAACGGCAAAAGAGCTCAATTCAAGTGCCAGTCTTCTGCGCATTCAGGCAGGCTCTGCTGCAATTCAATCTTTCCCTTTGTTGGTACTTCGCCCCCTCAATCCAACTTCCAGTGGCTTGTCAGTCCGTCATCGTGGGCCCTGCCCAAGTACAGCTCCACTGCATACAAGGCCATGGTTCCAGCCAGGTTGGCCCATCGGCTGATATTACCTCCACCTTCACCACCTTGACTCGTCCACCACTCTCCAGGTTGATCGGCCGAGGCACTGGCAAAGTGCTGCATCAGCAGGCTGGTGTAGACTGCGATGAGGATGCTTGGACTGAAGTAGCTCAACAGTCCCATCAGTGTTTGGACACTCTCAGACGATTCTTCGAAAGATGGGTCTTCAGCCAATGCCCGTGCACCAGATTCTCGTACGGCTGGGATGATTCTTGCCGCTGCGTACAGCACCATCAGGCGGTACATCAACGAGATGATGACCGAAGGGGTGACTGTCTGAATAGCGGCCAGCATGAAGCCAAAGGCGTTGTGCAATGTGGCTGGCAACGATGACAGCGCTTGAAGGACGGTGGTGTAGCTTGCCATCAGTATGGGCGGTAGCGGAGGAAACTCCGCGGCGTCTGGCGTTGGAACTTCCGGCAGGGGGTGACTTGGCTGGTAGTCGGTGAAGATCTGGTATATGCAGAGGGTGATGTACGCGAACAGCAAGCTGCTCTCCACCACATTCCCACGTCCACTTCCTATTCCCCACGCAGCCAAGAACACGGCACAAGCAATGGCGATGCCGATCAGGACTGCATCCTGGCTGTCCAGACCTGGGAAGGTGGTGATGCGCCAGAGGAAGTAGACCGAGCTGGCGATGATGCTGCTGGAGACGACCAGGAGTCCAATCATCCAGTTGTCGCCAGAGTCGCTCGTGTTGACCAGGAATCTCGTGACCTGACCAGAGGCTTGAATGACCAGCAAGCTGCAGAAGCCTTCCGTCAACTGGAAGACCGGCGTCGAGTATCGCAGCAGCTTGTCCCATCCGCCGATGAATGTACTTTCCAGCAAGCCCTCCCTGCCAAATACCCAATCTCTCAAGCTCGTATGGTGCAGCGGCTTGGTCGCGTTGTAGAAAGCGCGCGTCACCCAGCTGGCATCACTCCCTCCATCCACACTGAACTTGTTCAAGCTCCATATCAGCAGCGCGGGTATGACCAGAGGTTGTAGGGCTGCCACTGTTCGCACTCCCGCTCGTCGCCATGTCGAGGTGTCCGGTGTCGCGAGTCGTAGGAGTGAGAGGAAGAAGTAGTATGATGCCAGGCTCAGACTGAAGGCGAGCCCACAGGTACGTCCGCCGACATCGAAGGCGAGGGGGATGGTGAAGACGATGGAGAGGAGGAAGAGCGAGCTGCCGAGAAATCGGAATATCATGTCTCGGGCGGTGCGGCGGCGGCGGCGGGGGTGGTGAGCGATGGGATGTCGTGGTCCAAGGCGCTCATGCGCCTGCGCGGTGTGAGAAAGGCCAGTCCGGCGAGGGAAGGTGTGGGTGTGTAGAAGAAGGAGCGAAGTGAATATTGGGGAGTGTCGAGGCAGGCAGACCGCTTTTGCTTGCTCGAGCACGAAAAATGGAGACCCACTCGCGCCAGCTGGCACCCCACAAAGGATTGATTAAGGTGTGGTTAAGGAGCGAGGGCGAGTCCGGTCGAAAGTTGATTAGGCGTTGATTAGCAAAATGTTGGGCGGAGCGGTCAGGGTCGGCGGCGGCGACGGAGGAGTCGTTGACGGAACAGCTCTGCTAGCTGCAGCACAGAGCGTGATCTGGGAGGAGTGTGTCGCGTGCAGCTTTGCCCAACGCAATCCAGCCTGCTCTACTCCTGCGATTCGACAGGATCAGGTGGTGGTGAGTGGTGATTATTGATTGATCGATTTGATTGATGGTTCCCCGCCTGAGAAGCAGGTCCTGCAGCAGCCCAACGCCAGTTCCTCCTACACCTTTCACCACCTTTCTGATCTACTTTTCAGGTTTATGGCGTCCAATTCTTGTCTCTCGACGTTTGCCGCCACCCACGTCGTCGCCACGGCAGCAACTTGTGACTTCCTTGTGACGGGGTGGTCGCACTTGCTGCGCGGCACAAACAGGGAACACGTTGCTGGAACGCCTGGCGCACGTGAAAGCCGGTTCCTCCCGCCGGTGGAGGCTTGGCGCGATGGATCTAAGCGAGCATTAGCTTTGCAGGGTCTTGGATTGGCTGGAGTTTATTTCTCTTCCCGAATTTTACACGGTGCATCAAGTGAATCTGTACAGCTTGGATGAGTGTTGCACGACCAGCCATTCGCTCGACATTGACACGCCCATACAGGATATCGCCCATTCCAACAACACGATATTTGCATTTCACCTCCTTTCCAGGATCTAATCGCCCCTCCCGACCACCCCCTCACCGCCTTCACCCACCCACACTAGACTCCTGCCGGCTCCATCCACGAGCCCGCTTCATGTCGGAGCCCTCCTCCAAGCGTCTCAAGATGGCCGACGGCACCGCTGCTCCTGTCATTGGCACCCACAATGGCCACTTCCACGCCGACGAGGCTCTGGCCGTCTACCTCCTGCGCCTGCTCCCCGACTACCAAAACGCCCAGCTCGTCCGCACCCGCGACCCCGAGCTCCTCAAAGACTGCACCATCGTAGTCGATGTGGGAGGCGTCCACGACGATGCTCTCCGCCGGTATGACCACCATCAGCGTGAGTTCAATGCCACGTTTCCTGGAAAGCACACCAAGCTAAGCAGTGCGGGACTGGTGTGGATGCACTACGGCAAGAAGATCATTTCGACAGTCACTGGGTTGGATGTGGACAGTGCGGACGCTGAGCTGCTGTACCAGAAGCTGTACGAGGACCTCATCGAGGCCTTCGATGCCAACGACAATGGCATTTCCGTCTACGACCCGCAAGAGCTGAGAAAGGCAGGCATCGAGAAGAAGCTGAACGACAAGGGCTTCTCCCTGGCCAGTGTGGTCGGCCGCTACAACCACGCTCCCATCACGCCTCTGGTCGATGCTGTCTCCTCCAACGGCGCACCTCCTGCAGCTGCCAAGACGGAGAAAACACAAGACGAGGAAGATGCGAGGTTCCAGCGTGCCTCTACTTTCGTGGGAGAGCAGTTCTCGCTCGAGCTGTCAGACAAGTTCACCTCTTGGCTGCCCGCGAGAGCCGTTGTCGCTCGAGCATTCAACTCCCGCACCGCACTCGACCCATCAGGCCGCATCATCGTCATCCCACATCGACCTGAAGGTGTTCCGTGGTCAGACCATCTCTACGCATTGGAGGAGGAGAATGGGTGTGCCGGCCAGGTGCTGTATGCATTGTTTGCTGAGAATGGCGAGCCCAACAGCAAGTGGCGGATCAGAGCCGTCAGTCTCGAGCCAGGCAGCTTCGAGAACCGAAAGGCCTTGCCAGAGGCGTGGAGAGGTGTGAGAGACGAGGACTTGAGCAAGGTGTCTGGAGTTCCAGGCGCCATCTTTGTCCACGCCGGCGGCTTCATCGGTGGAAACCAGACCTTCGAAGGCGCACTTGAGATGGCGAAGAAGGCTGTCGAGATCTAGGTTCGGGAATCCCGATGGATGGAGCGACGAGAGCTTTTTGCGACGCTTATCAAGCCCGGGTTCTGCGGCTCTGTTCCTTTTCGTTCAGTGAGTGGTGTTGTTTGCCCTCGAGAATCCTCATTCTGAGTCAGCAGCTGAAAAGTAACGAGCCCTCGAGATGGACCATGCCAGCTGGAAGCAGGATATGATACGAAAGCAGCTATCAGCGACTATACTGAAGGTGTTTGCTGAGCAGTTTCATTATTTTCATCTCACCCTCATACCACTCTTTCTTTCGCCCAACTCACCGTCCACTTGACAAGACATCATCCAAGTCCATCACCTCGCCAACATGACCACCCTCAACAAAGATGACACCCCTCCCAAACTCGAAATCATCTCCCTCGGCCTCGCCCGCACCGCCTCCCTCTCCCTCTCCCAAGCCCTCAAAACCCTCGGCTACCACCCCGTCTACCACTCCGTCGAAGCAACCTTCTCCCGTCCCCGCGACGGCAAAATCTGGCTCGAACTGATCCGCAAGAAATTCCACCACCACCAACCCATCACCAAACACGACCTCGACCGCGCCACCGCGGGCATCCAAGCGGGCACCTCGGCACCCTACTGGGCGTTCTGGCACGAACTCATGACCTACTACCCGGACGCGAAGATCATCCTCGCGGAGCGCGAGTACGAGGCGTGGATGTCGAGTTTCGTCCCCATCGTCGAGAATTTCATCTATTCCTGGCGCGGCTTCTGGCTGTACTGGTTCGCGCAGCCGGTGCTGGGTCGCTGCGATATGGCGCTTATGGCTGAGAATATGAAGGGGTATTTCGATGCGCCGACCCTGCAGGATATTCAGCGGAATGCGAGGAGGGTGCATGCGGAGCATCATGAGGGGATTCGGCGGTTGGCGAGGGAGCAGGGGAGGGTGGTGCTGGAGTGGAGGTTGGGGGAGAGTGGGTGGGGGGAGTTGTGTGCGTTTCTTGGGAAGGATGTGCCAGTAGGGAAAGAGTTTCCGAAGGGAAATGAGAGGAGGGTTTTGGTGGAGGGGATTCGGAGGAATGCGAGGGGGCAGATTTGGAGGGCGGTGGGGAGGGTTGGGTGGTGGGTAGGTGTTTTGGGGGTTGGTGTTGGGGCGGTGGTTTGGGTGTGGAGGAGATGAGGCGGTGGTCGAGGTGAGGGGAGGTGGGGCGACGAGGAAGTGATGTTGACGGGGTCCAGTCAATGCGTGGGAGAAAGGGGACGTGGCAGAGTGTGGCAAGGTAAGGTCAGGCGTAGGCCAGAGCATCTACTATCTTGATTCGTGAGACAACGTTACTAAGAAACGACAGGAAAGCTCGATTTCTCAATGCCCATTCAACCTCACCACCGCCGCAGGCCGACAACTCAGCCTTGCTCGTATTCAAGCCTCCACGGCGGCCTTTGGCCCCAGGTGCCAAAAGCGCAATGCCACAGCTGGGGGCGAAGGTTGACTTGATGTGGTTCCACGACAGGACTTGGCGCTTTGCAAGAGCAATCAGACGCTCAAGCTCCCTTGTCATGCGGTGGCATCAGTTTACCGAGCCACCGACTTCTTCTTGGCTTCGTCCAAGCGATAGAACCAAACACCATGTGGCGTTCATCTGCGGCATGGCATGACCTGGCCGTTCATCAGCTTCAGCCTTTCTGCGGGAGGTACAAAGCATTCACTTCGAGGGTGATGATCAGTGGCAACAGCAACGAAATTCTCAGCGGCAGCGAGACCGACGACCCATCGCAGGAAGAAGAGCTTCTGCAATGGCCGAAGCTCAATTCATCTACGAGCCCCTAGCCAATGCGTCGAAACAACTACGTCTCCTGCAATTCACCCCGGCTCATCCTGGCGACGAAGTGGGCGTTGAGATGTCAACTTGGTCCCTGTCGAACGCTCCTCCTTACATGGCCGTCTCCTATACCTGGGGTGACCCGGAGCCGAAGCCGATCATGATCAGCGGGCAATCGGTCGACGTAAGGTGGAATTGTTTCTACGCCTTATACCAAGCTAGATTCCATTACCCAGATGGTTATGTTTGGATCGACTCCATCTGCATCAATCAAGACGACCCGGATGAGAAAGCTATCCAAGTCTCGAACATGTTCGACATCTACTCGAACGCCTCCATGGTCCTGGCCTCACTTGGCGAGCACGGCGACGACAGCAAGGCACTCCTCGACGGCCGGTCTATTGAGCACAGTCCGAAGTCTGGCGACCACCAGCTGCGAACGTTTCGAAGAACCGAGAAGTTCGGCTCCAGACCTTACTGGAGCAGACTGTGGATTGTGCAGGAACTCTTTGCCGCCAAAGACAAGATCGAGATACTCTGCGGCTCAGACAAGTATGACTGGGCCGAAGTCACCAAGATCTGTGGCTACGGGGTCCCCCACCAGAGACGCGAGATTTGGGACATGTTGGGAAGCAGCATGTTCCGTGTGATTGCTTCGCTTCATAAGCTGGATCTCAACCAGGCCCTCTCTGGTTTCACGGACTTTGATTGTTCGGATCCAAGAGATCGGCTGTATGGTCTTCTGGCCCTGATCCGTTGGCCGGCGGGATGTGAGCCTGTCAAGCCGGACTACAAGCGTTCGGCTTATGATTTGGCATTGCAGCTTGTCGACCACGTGAAGGGCGATACTATCGAGCCGATGCTCCGGGCCTTCAGGCTGTCATTGGCATCGCCCGAAGTGGAAACTTTAGTCACTAACCGGCAGCTTCACGCAGCAAGCCTCACCAAGGCCTGTGTTGAGAAACGGTACAGCAAGTTTGCCTTCATAACCAGCGATCAAAAGTACACAGGTCTGACTCCAATTGGCTGCCTCGTCGAAGACGGCGAGGGCAATCTTACATCGGCATTGTTGGAATCGTTGCGCCATATCGAAGAGCGCCGCACACGAGATGACTTCTACGAAACTTTTCGCCGAAAGAACTCTTCAGAATCAGAAGACTTTCCCCGCGAACAATCACCAAGAAAGCTCACTGTCCAAACTGAAACGATCGGTCTACTCTGCGCCGAAGCCATGGCAGGCGATCTTCTGGTCATCTGCTCCCGAAGGCCATGGAGCGTTCTGCTCGTCCTGCGACACAATGATGACTCTCACTACGACCTTGTGGGCCAAGGCATCTTCATAAACGTCCGCGAGTCAAGCCTCGACTGGGAAGCCATGTTGGACCGGGGATGCGCAGCATTGAGCGTCAGCCTTACCGCAGAGGACAAGATTGCGCTCGTTGGACAAGATGTGACGGATGCTTTCGCCAAGTACGAGGTTGAGGCGTACTTCAAACGGCTGGTTGTGAGGTCGGCTGCTGATACAAAATGTGCGGCGCAGATCCTCTGGGGCGGCGGAACAGCCTCCAGCTTTGGCGTCAGGCTCGACCAGTCCACGATCACCTCTTCGAGGCCTGGCGCACAAACGTCTGCAAAAGACAGATATCGCCTCTTATCAAACGATAGAGTGCCTAGCTGAGCGATGCATCATCCCAACCCCAGGCAAGCCACATTTTCAGATCAGGTGCGGAAAGCTGCATTGATGGCTTTCCTTGGCTGTTACACGAACCAGGCTTAGCTGAGAGCCACGGCGGCTATGTCTTGAGTTCAGCTTTACCTACTCCATGGAGCCTCTCTCCAGATTCCATGGCCCTGCCTGGCACAAACTCTCATGCGATGAAGGCTATCAACTCAAGTTCCCTTCAGTGGGTATTCGCTCTTGTGTTCTAAGCAGCATCTTCTGCTGCAAGGCAAGGCTTTTCCGACTGGACAGTGGAGCTGTCTGAATTTGGGTCAAACTTTACGAATGGCTTCACCAGCCTTTCACCAGGCGTGCTTGTGAGCGACACCGAATTGCCATTGGAGAAGCGACAGTATACCTGCGATCCCGGCTATGGTAGGTAGCCTTGTCAAACACAGCTGGGCTGAATCTGACTCCTCACAGTGCTATGTTCGAACATGGCCAAGTGCTGCCCAGCAGGAGACGAATGCTTTGCCGAAGGCTGCTGCCCTTCCGGCTCAATCCCATGCGGTGCCATCAACCCCAGCAAGTGCCACTACTCCCCCACCGAGAAATGCTGCGCAGGCGGGTCCTGCAGGAAGGACTACGACTGCTGCGAGAGACAGTGCTGCTCTCCTGTGGGATACTGTGCCTCGGATGGGTATTGCTCTGCGAAGCCGTGCTCTGTCACGTCGACCGTGAACGCCGTTCAGACGAGATCTACGGTGGTTACGTCGACGAGGAGAGCTACTGTGACTGTTTTCGACGCTGAGGAAGAGCAAGCGGGCGAAGCGTTGCCGGAGTTTACATGCCCTGCCACCACTTTCACCGAGGATGGAAACAGTGCTTCACTCGAGCTCGGAGACAACTGCAAGCTCACGCTCCATGTCAACGAAGCCGAAGAGTCATCTACGCCCGCACTTCGTCGAGATGCAACCCCAACGACCACCACAGCTGCACCAGCGCTCAATCGTAGACAAGACATCACCTGCACAGCAACTCTGAGAGGCACCACGACCATAGCCTCAACATCGTGGACTACGAGCAACGTGACGGTCACAGAAGCCCCATCAGCTCTCCCAGAGTTCTCCTGCCTTGCCATTGTTGTCACCAACTCCGCGGGCGATGAGCTTGCCCTGGGTGATGACTGCAGCCTTGAGTTTACGCCTGCAGAGGAGTCTGCGGGGGCACAGGGCGATAGCGAGAACGATTCGGGGAGTGCGGATGGGACGTCGACTTCGCCTGAGTCGAGTTCGTTGACTGGGCCGCTATCTGCTTCGACATCTGGCGCCAAGCGGAACAGGATGAGTCTTGGGCTGGTGGTTTGGTGCGGTGTGCTTTTCCTGATGTGGATGCTGCTTTGACGATCTTGTCGGGCGTGCTATACAATGTTAAGCTTCTTTTTGTCCCTGAACGGTCTTGCTCGAGGTTTTGATACAGCCATCATCCACTGTGTCACTTCCAGAGGGAATATAATTGATTGGAAGATGAAGTAGCCAGGTTTCTTGCCCTTCTAGGGGCGACAATTGCAAGGCAAAGCAAGTTTGACGATTTCGTTCGCATCCCAAGTAGATGAAAGGTCGTGATTAATGATGATAGAAACGAGGACGTTCGTACCCAGAATTTTCTCCTCATCAGCGTTTCTCCCATCTCTGTGCAGCCACCTCATCCGCGGTGCCTGCTGTCAACCAGCGCCGGCAAGGCAGCCTCACCCATCAAGCGGCAAGATATGCGGCAACGGTCCAGCAGGCGTAATCCCACCCTGATTGATCATCCGATGCGACTTGGTATAGTGGCACTTGATATGATCGAAATTTGTCGTCTCGCGGAAGGCGGCGTTGGTCCAGTAGCAATGCCGTAGCCATCTGCAAACATGTTGAGTCAAGCCTCCCCTGAGAGTGGTCAGATGATTCACGTACCTGTGCAAGGCTGGATAGCCACTGCGGATGTCCCGGATGTTGCACTTGAAGTGCTGAACGTAGACGATGTCGAAGCGGATGAGGGTCTATTGTTCTTGTCAGTCTCATTCCAAAGAGGGCGTTCAAGGGAAGTGTGTATACCACGTAGAGGCGAATGTCCGCTTCGGTGGGGTTTTCGCCAAAGTAGTAGGGCCCGGGGGATGTGGCGAGGTGCTGCTCTGCTCGATCGAGAGATTTGAATAGGATTTTCACATTATTGTCGTATGACTCCTGGGTCCTGGCACATCGTCAGCTGGAGTCGAGGTCAAGGGTTGGAAGGCGGTTGAGACTTACGTGGAGAAGCCAGTTTTGTACACCCCTTCGGCACATTAGCAGGCTTTCGTCTATCAGTTGGGAGAGTTCTCCTTACCGTCGTTAATGCCAAAATACGTCCACTCACTCGTGTCTTCGATCTCATCTTGCAACTCCGATGGGAGAAGATCAACCATCGCAAACTCTCTTGGCAGCAAATGATCGAATTCATAGTACAACATCCGAATAATCTCTCTACTCTCATTGCTCACAATCCGCTTCTTTTTCTTATCATACAGCACTGGAACGGTGAATCGACCGTCGTAGTCTGGTTTGCTCTCGAAGTAGACATCTCGCAAATGTGTGAAGCCTGGATGAAGGGGATCGGGAGTCACATTTTTTTCTGGCTCGGCTTCTTCGGGTGTTGCGAAGCGCCAGCCTCTCGATCGAAGATCCCAGTGGACGACGGTGAATGTAATGATGTCTTCCAGACCTTTGAGCTTTCGAGTGATGAGGGTGCGGTGGGCTGCCATGTGAGCATTGAGCGGTTGTGTCAAAGTGGGATTAAACGACTTACCCCATGGACAGGCGTAGGAGACGTCTATGTTTCAGTCGACCATGAGACAGTGGTTTTCCTCCTGCTGCATATTCTACTTACAAAGATGATATCGATCCTTCTCGGCGGGAAACTCTGCTTGACGATCTCTCGAGATCCAGTTCCGAAACTGCTGTTCGGGACGTTTGAAAGCACCTTTGCCGTCCTGTTTTATCGTCAGTATTGTACTACAAATATTGAGACCTAGTACTCTGACTCCAAACTTCTTGGGGAGCGTCATGTATTCTTCTTCATTTATCGTCATGGCGGATTAATGGAGGCTGACCTTCGAGGACACACCAAAGAACCACCCCTCCTGAGCCTCATTCTCCTGTTAGTTATATAGGGGACCACTCGGCGACGAATCCACCTGTCGGTGATATTGGACTTGGCTGTTCGGCGAAATCTTGCGCCATTTAGGAGCTGGGGATCGGGCTATGTTGTCTCCGCAGGCCGTATAATGTGTCCAACAAGTACAATTAGGGGACGATGAGGTATGCTATATCGGTCAAAATCGCCTTAAATACCGCTATCCTGTTATAAAGTGCAAGATAGAGACTTGAAAATCGCAAATCATAGTAACATCTCCCCGAGACTTGCTAGAAGCTTACCTAAGGGAGTCTTCAGCCTGATCCACTACCTTCCGGTGGTAGTTCAACACACTACTGAGCTTGGATATCGTAGCCGCTGTCCTACAATACCGCTTTTGCTGCGCCACAGAATCGTTCACCTCCAGGTGAATTGAAGATGCCCTTTTTCGGCCCTGTTTGGAGAGGACCTTTGTAAGGATAGAGGCCTATGACGGACTGGGTGTCAAACTCGTCAACAGGCTTGGTGAGAATTCCGTCGACTTAGAAATAAAGGCACGTACATCGTTACGACAGCGGCTGCATATCCATTCGGGGGCAAATGTGAAAGTTGCCTACGAGCTAGGCGACTTCGCCCTCAATTGATGCCTCAAAGTCTTGGCTATCACTATCCCTTCGATGTGTCTTTGCTTCCTTGGAGATACCTTCCTCCCCAGGTCCACCGGTCACTTCGTCTCGGCGTTGACGTCCATGGACCGTCCTCTGCGCTCTGGGCCCAAGAAGGTCATGAGAATTACGTAGGCGAAGACACAACCAACGAATATGCAAATCTAGAGTTGAGTGTTAGCTTTCGACAGCGGACGATGCAACTCTTGTACAATACTTACCACCTTGCCATACTGATATCTTGAGATAATCTCTCCGTTCTGATGCTTCGAAGGTAATGGAAATCGTTCGCCGATAGTCGCCTCGATCGTCGAGCTTGCAGATGAGACCAGATTGCCCAGTTGAAACGATGTGCCCACGACAAAGACTCGTAGACTGCCCGGGCTAAGTTCCATCAGATGAATAGGGATCACTCCCCAAGCACCTTGAACACAGAACTGTTCAAAGAAGGCTGCAGCGATAGCGGCCTTGCTAGAAGTAAAGGAATACGGATAAAGTAAGGCGCCTCCGATGATTGCAATGACAATAATACTGAAACGGCGTCCCAAAGACTGAGAAAGATAGCCGATGGTTGTTCCGCCGGCAATTGCGCCTAGGTTGGCGACGACTTGAGTGACTGTAACGGCGTTCGGAGAAAAGTTGTACTCGTTCACCAGCATTGTTGGATACAGGTCCTGCGTCCCATGTGACATGAAGTTAAAGCCAGCCATAAGTAGCACTAGATAGACAAGCAGTAACCAATGAGTCTGCAGTGCAACCCGCCCTTCTTTGACGAAATCCTTGCCTGCGTTAGGGTATACCTCTCGCAGGCGTTGGCGCTCGATGTATGCATCCGTCTCGCCAAGGCACAGACGAAAGGCAATAATGAGGATTGGCACGGCTCCTCCAAACCAGTACAGTGGGCGCCATGCGTGAGGGGTAGTATTCACCAACGCCCGTGAGAACACAGTCGCCAGCAGGTAGCCAAAGGCGTATCCTTGTTGGAGGATGCCGGAGATGATGCCTCGTGCTCTAGGAGGGCAGTCTTCAAGTGCCATTGCGGCGATGTTGCCATATAGGCCACCCATAGCGACACCAAACAAGGCACGGCATGCCAGAAACTGTCTGTATGTGTTGCAAAAGCCCGTCCCAAGCTCGAGGGCCATAAAGAGAAGATTGTTAACGACGAACGGCCATTTCCTTCCGAACCGGTCCGACAATAGGCCAAATATCACAGCACCCAGAGAGCGAAACATCAAAACAAGGGTGATACCCCAGGTAATGTCTGCGTTCGTCTTGCCAAATGTATCCGCGAGATTTGCCACCGTAAGGGAGACAGTAAAGAAGTCGAAGGCATCCCAGCTCCATGCGATGAAGGCGCAAGAAAAGAATAGCCATTGTTTTCGGTTTAGTAATCTTAGGAGCTTGATCGGATTCTCGAGTCTTGTCATGGGAGGCTTTAGAGTTGAGAGACGTGTTGCGAGGTATGTAGTGATGCTCATATGTTCGGCAGCATCCTGGTCGGGGACGTCTTCACGACGCTCGGCAGCATAGTCGTACTTCTCGTCGGCCATATTAGCCACTGTGCCGTGTCAGCCTTTGAATTTATTACATGCGTGATGGGCGAACAGTTTTCTTGACAGTTTAAGTGAGATGAGAAACAGATTTGCGATGCCGAAGTGCAGACACCCGTATATGGCGCTATGTTGATACGAGAACGGGGCCAAATAGTTGTAGATCGAACTGGCTCTTCTTTCAAGCATTCCCTCGATTTGCGTAGCCTGAGATTAGACTCACGAGGTCCTATGGGGCCGCGTCAAGACCGAAGCCACATTCTGGAGACCCCAGGGGCGCTGCAGTCAATCTAGCGCATTGCGCGAGACGTTGAGCGTATTCTTCACGCCGAACTTCTTCTGGACGAAGTTGATCATGATCCTTATACGCCAGCCCTGGCAAGCCGCAACAGCCGCGGATGTGCGGGATGTGCAAGACACAGGCTGTTCGACCCAGAGCTTGCTGCATGGCGTGAGCCGCCTGGACAGCTACTCGTAAAGTGAAGTCTGTGTGAATAATCATGCTGATTTGAAGCGGCAAGTCTCCGCAAAGTCTGTTGTAGTCCGGCATGTCGCCGTTGTGCAATGGGTTCGTGAATCAAGCCTTTGTGTGTCTAGCTTTTGGGAACTTCCCCTTTCAGCAGAGCGGTTATGCAAGTCAGAATTTTGTGATGAATCCCACCGCGACAAACATCAAGACGGGCATGTCGGGACTTTGGCGTCGAATGCTCTTCGAGACACTCGCTCAGAGCCCACAGGACTAGCCGCATTTCTGCACTGTACGCGTAGCAATCTCACTGACGCGCATTTGCATCAACGGTCAAAGGATTACAATTACTCGTACGACTCGTACATATGCGACATCCTTCCCTCTGTATCCACATTCACACTAAAAGTCTTAGTCCAGCTGTGGAGAGGTGCTGTTGCGAGATGTTTCCTAAGTCACAAGAGAGCAGCTCCTCCTGGTACTGCCCTGTTACCGCAGACGCGTCTGGATGTCGCTTTTCCTCAGGCTGATTCGAGGCTCTCTCATCTCTTCATCTTACCTCCTGCCTCATCGGTCTGAGTGCTTGAACCGGTAGAATTGTGTCCAACGATCGCTTCTCGGGATTGCAGGTTACTGTCATGAGCGTACTGCTGCGGAGGATACGAAGTCATGCATATGTCGATGACCCCGGCGCCTGTACCGCCGGAAAACCTTTTTTCGTGACCATGCTGATCTCCTGTCGTACTGAACTGTAAATCCATTGGCAGCAGGTACTATATGATGTTGTCTGTACGAGGAAGACGTGAGGTTGCTGAGAGGAAGTCTGCTGACGAAGGACCATTTCCTTCAGCCTCAGGGTTCTCGCGGGATGTCCCCGACGGGGTCTGCCCGACCGGAAATGTCATTATAAGAAGAATGAACAACCATGCCGCTGCTGTCAGCATTGGAAATAAAGGGTTTCATGTCATCATGCCCATCTACCATTTGCGTAAGCTACCTCTCCAGTCATCAAACCTTGATCAAGCCTGAGCAGAAAAGGAGTCTCTTCACAACATATAGCAAGAAATGTCAACTAGATATCTCTGACAGGTGCTGTAACAGTTCTCGTCAAGCTCAAGCCTGGGGCCTCATCTTCCCAGATCGCTGCGTGGAGCAATAAAGGTCGTGCAATGGTTGGGCAGATCCCTGGTAAGAATGTGTGAACAGCGAGATCGTAATTGACGCTGAAGTTGGTTTGACTAGGTCTAGTAAGGTGGCAGCCTGGCCCTCCACTGGAAGTCACCAAACATAGATGCAAAGGCTTTGGTATGGCGGTCGTGGCGATCCTCGACAAGGAGGAGGACATTGCGGTGTACACCGACCATCCCGCGCACAGAGAGTAAGTATTCCCCTGAGTGCTCGTTCCCATACCTCCTGATCTTTGCAACAGGGGGCATCATCTGCGGGAGGCCTTCTGCGATGAGACTGTAGCTTATGACCTGGAATTCGAATAAATCACATCGTCCCGTTTGACGGCTGCACTTGCGAGCATCGCAATTCTGCGTGGATGTCGTAGTAATCCTTCTCCAAGGCCAACTCCGCTGCCACCCTGATATCTCCAGCATTGAGTTTCACTGCCCTGACAAGAAGCTTCACTGTCTCCAGATGTCCATTCTGGGCTGCCAGCTGCAGAGGTGTCTTGATTCCTAACCGTCCAGTCCATTTTGGATACGACAAGACTGTCTCCTCACGTCTGGGTGCACTCCAGTCCACGACGACCAAGTTTGGAAGACACATACTGCTCTCAGTTTCTCGCTCCTTGCCACCAATGGTCATGTGAGGCATATCTGGGCGTTCCATGGGAACAAAGTTGCCCTTCAGGAAGTCTGGAACGCTCGCATTGGCAAGTTCCCATCGCTCTGTTTGTTGCTGCGCTGCCTTGTAGGATCTATGGGCGTCGTTCGCGGGGACTTCACTTGCCGCAAGTTCTTTCTCGCTTTGAACAGCCGTCTCTCGCCAGGGATTGGGAGCAGTAGGCTTGAACAATTCCGAGGGCGTGAGCAACACTCTCATCACTTTGGTACATCCATTCTTGGCTGCCAGATGAAAGGCCGTCTGGCCAAACGAATCTCGATGTCGGAGCACCCCAGAGGACCGTTATCCTCCAACTGCATAAAGCAAGTTGGCGGCCAGTACGCTGTTACCCCTGAGACATGCCAACATCAGTAGGTTTCGATCATTGATATCCAACGTGTCAAGATCGGCGCCCTCTCGTACAAGTGCTTGGAAAATCTCTTCCTGGTCCAGGCTCTTCATGATGTCGATGCGACGACTTCTCGAGACGAAATGCCATCCAGCCTGACCACGTTCACCGTGGTAATAATCCTCTAGCGAGTCGCCATCGACCTCTTCGCGGCTGCAGGTAATGCTGTATTCGCCGATCTTGTCGTCAAAAAGCTTTTGTATTGGTACTTGGCCTTTGTCGTCTTTGATGTTAGGATCGGCACCGTACTCCAGCAACAAGAGAGTGAAGTCTCTGTGACGCGATTGGACGGCCAGACTGAGAGTTGTGCAGCCTTGCCAATCGCGAGCGTTGATGTCGATCTCCTCCCTCGCCAGCAGAACTCCCATGTCTGAACGCCATTTGTGGCCGCTGTCGATGTGATGCCAGCCTCTGCAAATGCAATGTAGCAAGGTCCCGTCCCTGTCTGTCGCCGCGCAGGGATCGGTTCGCAAGTCGAGAAGGAGAAAGATGGTAAAGAGACACCGTCCGAAGATTGCCAATCCAGGACGCGGCGCTCGGGCGGCGGCACAGAGTGCTTTATCATAGCACTGCTGTCGTGAGTCCGGCGGGATTCGATGGATGATCAGCCGGAGGATCAAGTCACTCAAGCCGGGCGAGTTCGACTGCCGTGCTAGAATTCAAACGCTGGTGCTGATTGCGTTTGTTCGTTCCATATTTCAACTTTGTGTTGGAGCAGGCTCTCGATACATTGGCATTTGAGCATTTCTGAGCCGGGATCATGCTCCAAGACGACCTGCAGGATGCTCTTGTCATCTGAACCCCGTGCATTCGCATTCGCGCCGCCTTCCAGAAAAGCTACGAACTTCTCGTGGCTGTTGTCATGCAAGGTACGCAAAATGGGCGGGTACCCTTTCGACCCACCATTATCTGGGTCGGCTCCTTCTTGGCTTAGTAGCAAGTCTATCCCTTGTCGATCTGCATTCATGTATGCTGCTTGCCACAGAGGCGTGCGACCGTCTGTGCCTTCCCACTTTGTGGAGAACCCCACGTCAAGTAGCCTTGTTACTCTCGTGAGATCAGGCTCTATGTTGTTCATCGCCATGTACAACGCTGCAGAGCCTCTGGGAGCCGCGTTGATGCTATGTTTGCTCCTCGCATCTTACCAGGCTTGTAGCACTTCTTCAAACACCGCGCATGGATATGCTTGCTGTACTGCGTACGACAAAGCATCGAGACCACTGTCATCAGGCTTGGAAGGATTGGCTGAGCTTCTTCGGAGGACATCCAACATGACTCTAGCCGTTGTTCGCTCCTGCTCTGATTTCGATCGTGACAAGTCGTGGAATACCCGTGAGCTGACTGCCTTGGCCCATGTACTGACTTGCATCGAGCGCTCGATGTAGTACTCGTCAAGAATACTTATCACCTTTCTGCGATATAGAAGGTGCTCCGGCATGACCTTTGCATCTATATGTGGCAAGGTGTGAGACACTGATCCGAAAAATGAAGGCCAGTAACATTCCTTGGACATCTCTGAAGGCCCAGTGTCTACGGGTGCTTCCCGTTCGAGCAGGTAGGAAGCCAGGGTCGTCCAACAGCGTTCGATTGCCAGGTCGAGCAGCTTTCGAGCGACTTCTAAGTGGCTGTAAGGCTGAGATGCTAGCAGGTTTGCATCTAGCAGCTTGATGACCATGCTCTCGGTGGCAGCGTCAGATCGCAACACGGCTTCAAGAGCACGTTCTCCTGGTGACATCGAGTGCGTTTCATTGGGCAGCCACGAAGAAGAGATGTTACGAATGACAGACGGCATGGTATTCGCTATCCAGATTTGCAGAGTAGCTTTGATTGATGTGTCCCTAGGGAAAGATTTCGTGGCGATTCTCTGAGGTCCCCGCTCCTCGGTCATGCCATAGAGGAGCCCACGACTGATCAACTCGTCGAAAATTGCCTCGTACCCATTCTCTATGGCTAGGGAGACTGCAGTGTGCTCGAATCGCGCCCAAGCACCGGCATTTGGGTCTGCCCCCGCTTCCAACAGCGTCCTGACCAAAGCTTCGTCTCCATCTTGAACGGCCAGTAAGAGGTCGTGTTCGAGTTGCGACAACATGATGCCGCACTGGGAGGAAATTGCAGTCGAAAGGCTTGTAATTGAAGAAGTGCAGACTTGGAAGCAAAATTGGCAGGCGGAGGCGGAGGCTGAGTGCGAACCAGCACAGCCTCCTGTTGTGTGACACCCACCTCAAGGGGGCGCGAGACTCAAGACGCTCAGCTCCTCCTCTCGAAACTTGAACAAATTCATCAACATCTTCGATGTCAGACAGTCTCTGGTCATCGATACTGGGTGCCACGGCTGTACCCCTGGGGCTGGTCGGCCTCCTCGCGACAGAACGTGTGAGGAAAGTTTGTGACTAGCACCTCAAGGAGTGTCCGAGCAACCTTCTGCCCGAATGATGGCCAAGTCCAATCATGCGCCTGGAACGAGGTGCAATCGGGGCCAGTACACTTCTGCACAGATCGGCGAAGCAGCTATTGCCACGAGAAGGAGCACGTTGCGGGCCCATTGTGCTGGGATGACACATTTCTGACCGCTCTGAATCGATGGAACCCACTGATGCCACACCAAATCAACAAGAAGCCCGAGCTTCTTCCCATGTCGAAGAGCTTCCTCCAGATTGAATACAAGCTGCTGCTGGCCTACATTCTCTTGACCGCTAGAGGCATAGTCCGAAGCAGCTATCGGCAAGCAAGGAACACCTTCGAAGTTGGACAGACCAACGTCAACATTCAAGAAATTCGTGCTGGTGTGTTACTCATCCATGTTGAAGGTGTACTGAAGGATACGTTTACAAAGGAGCTTCTGGAAAATCTCGTCAACGGTCATCCTCCTATCGTTGATAAACGACTGGCGCCTGGACAAAACGTTCACCAGGGAGGCTGAATAGCAGCATTGGGTATGGAAGAGCCATATGACGAGAAGAACACATTTTTGCCAGTGTACTCGGACGCCGTGCGCTATGAGGCAGGCATTCAGAATACCAAACGAGGTCACGTCTTCTGACGTTCGATGGATCGAGTTCACCGCATCCTAGTTGAAGTCTGGGCTGTGGCCTTTGCCGCGGACCCTGATGCCCTGGGGGACATTCAGATGGCCATCAAGGCCATGGAGATGATTCGCCGTCACGAGACAGAGAGCGGCGTCGAGCACATCCTAAAACTGTCAATACCCCCGCTGCCATCATCCCCTCAACTGCGACAGAAGATCGTGGACAATTTTGACGGGAAGCCGACATTTGTCGAATCAGAAGGTCCGGCGTTTCGAGCAGAATGGAGACCAGCCCTGCGAAATGTTCTCGAGGCTTGTACGAAGGGGTGCATTCTCTGCATTGGGTACTTCAAGAACAATGGTCGGGAGATTGAACAGATATTTGGACCAAGCTGAACGAAGAAACTCAAGGAGTCGGATTTGTATCTCCGTGGGTGCCTGAAGGAAAGTTGAAGTTGAACTGAAATGCTGAGGACTGCCACCCTCTGGAGGCTGTTGTTGGGTCAATGATAGAAAGATAGCGCCAGGGCACCGCATTTTGACAAGTTTCTGCAAATTGTCTCGATCGGGAGGATGAGGAGCCAGCCCTGGCAATCACTGTCCGTAGCTTAGCTGTCTCTTTCCTGTCGTCTTGTTACAGAACATATCTGAATGCCAGGTTCTCTCGGTCCGTCAGATCCAACTGCCTGGCATCGACAACTTCTTCCGAATCCGAATCGCCACTTCCGGAATCGTGTTTGATCACTCCGACTTCGTTGATCAGACCCTGCGCAGCAAGGGCATCCCGCCGCTTGTTCTCCTTCTGCAAGCCCCATCGCAGATATAGCACTATGATCATAGGAAGCACACAAGCAATACCGAGAATGACCGCCCAGGTGACAATGTACCTTGGCTTGTACTGGGGCTGGAAGAGCTGGGGTGAGAGGATGTTACCCAAGCCGTACCCAACGTGGTACAGCCCAATGACAGTGGTCTTCTTGGTGTGCCCGGCTGAGCAGTTCGCAGCCCAGATCATGACCACGCTGTACGGAATGCCGCCAGTGGCGCGAATCCAGATGGCTGCGATGAGGCCCCAGCGATTGCTCCACGGCAGAGAGAGCAGTAAGATGCAAGATATGATGGGCGGAATGTAGGCTGCTACCGACAGCCACGCACGGCAGTTCCTTGTCTTTGCCAGAATGATGGCTGCCGCTGCAAGCGACACAAATGCAGTAACGCCATTGACACATCCCAGCAAGGTCGTCTGCAGAGTGGTAAAGCCGAAGGACTTGATGATTAGAGAGTATTGATTCGTCAAACCGTTGGCCATCTCCTGACTCCAAGCGTGGAGGAAGAAGAGCCAAGTTTTCCAGTCTTTGAGAGCTTCCACAAACTGAGACTTCTTAAAACGCTTCTGCTCAATGCCGGAATGGTTGCTCTTGATCCTGAGGATAGCTTGTGCCCGCTCCTCTTGCGAGAGGAAGTGTGCGTTTATAGGGCTGTCGGGAAGCCAAAGCCAGACAGCAGCCCCAAAAAGGATTGTTAGGACACCGGTGATGACCATGAACCATTTCCAGGGGCTGAAGCTTCCAGTCTTGATGAAGAGGACTCCATACGACAAGAGACCCGATGTGATGGGACTCGAGTTTCCGATCGCCCACATACAAGGCATTAATACGGCTTGTTCATCATATGTGAAGAACATGTTGAGAGTGAGCAGGAATGCCGGCACAATGCACGCTTCTGCCAAACCCAGCAAGAAGCGGACGACGAAGAGAGTGGCGAAAGAGTCGCATGGGATATGGAGGAGGAGGATCGCTCCCCAGACGATGAGGTTGATAGCTAGCCAGCGAGCGACAGGAAACCGTTGTAGTGCCCAATTCTGTGGCCATTCGGCAACGAGATACCCGAGATAGAAAATGCTGGACAGCCAGTTGTACTGTGTGCTGTTGAGATGTGCATCTTCCATGATGCCCAGGATGGCCGAGTTACCGAGAGTCTGCTTGTCCACGTACATGAGATGGTAACCGGCGCAAAGGAATGGCAGGATCCATCGGACACATTTGTTTCGAAGGCGGACCGCTTCTGTTGGGGATGGGTCATCGACCTGGACCTTGGAGAAGAGTTTGTAACTCTCATCGGCGAACTTCTCAGGCAGCTTTGGAGTGGCTGATTCGCCAGCCGGCAAGGCTGTGGTCGTCGCAACGGCTTTCGACATGCTGGTGCTGGTCTCCACGTGGGTGAAGAAGGGAATGGTGCCGGACCGGACTGGAGCTTCTTATCAGGACAGCTCAGTCCGTCAATCTCTGTCGTTGCGGATCTCAAGTTCATGCCTCATATTTGCCGATAACACCATCCAAATGTTGAATGATCAATGGCGGGCCGACGTACGAGAGCCTGGCCGGCGGCCAAGGGGTAAGCAGAAGTCTTGCCAGTGCTTGCGTGAGTTGAGGCCAAGCCTGGATCTTGTTACCTGAGTTCAAGTAAGAGTCTCCATGGCAGAGGAGCTTTCGGCCAACAAGACATCATGCTGGCATGGATGGCGTGCTACATGCTTGCAATATCATTATCACTAATCCCTAGCGACCACACGGCTACTCCCGTCCATGCAGGTCTCCAGCTCCTCCACTAAGCATTGCCCCTCAACCTGATAAGCTCTGCATATACCTGGACCCTTTGCGGTAGAACGTTTCCTTCTCCCCAGTATCAACACTCGGACAGCATCACCATGGCAGAATCCGACAAACTACGTGTAGCAGTCATCGGCGCTGGCATAGCTGGTCTCGCTGCCGCCATTGCACTCCAGCGGCATCATGGTATTGATGTACAGATCTACGAGAGGGCGACAGAGCTGAAGGAGATCGGAGCCAGCATCGCACTTGGCCCGAATGGCATGAAAGCTTTGGAGAGGCTGGGCGTCCACGAAGCTCTTGACGACGAACTAGCCTTTCGAAATAGTTCAGGCTATCCCATGGTGTATAGGTAAGATTTGGAGCTTGCGCTGTCGTTCACATTGCTGATTTTGGTAGACACTGGAAGACGAACGAAGTTATCTCCGTTGACCAACACCATGGCGAGATTGAGTATCGTTATCGAACAAGCCGCTTCTACCGGGCCCATTTACAACAGGCTCTCGTCGCCCACGTTAAGCCAGAAACCATTCATCTCAAGAAAGCTTTCCAATTTGTCGCCTCTTTGCCAGATACAGAGGAACTTCAGATCACCTTTACTGATGGCAGCACTGCAGCAGCAGATGTGCTACTAGGAGCTGATGGGATTCAATCGGCCGTTCGACGATCTTTCGTTCCAAGTTCTGCACCAAAGTGGACTGGATGGGTAGCCTTCCGTTCCGTTTTCGATACACAGCTTGTCTCACACATACCTGGCGTTCTCGATGAGGCCTATCACTGGTGGGGACCAGAGAGAACGTTCTTTAGTTCGAAACTCGGCAAGGATCAATTCACGATCGTCGGCGGCAACTACACCGACCCAAACGCACCAGATGCTCCTTTCAGAGACGCAACATGGAACTCGGACGGTGATTTGGCAGTATTTAAGGACTATTATAAAGACTGGCACCCTGCTATTCGACAGATGATTGATGCATCGCCGTACACTCGCTTGTATCCAAATACCTTTGCGTCCAGCCTCGATACATGGGTTCATGGAGATGGACAAGTGACATACGCCGGCGATGCTGCACATGCACATGGTGGAGCTTTCGCTGCCGGAGGATCTTTGGCCTTGGACGATGCATGGGCTTTCGCTCGGGCGATTCTTACTGCATACCCGCCTGGCTCACCCAAGCCGTCCAAGGCTGACATCACCGGAGCGTTGAGATTGTACGAAGCTACAAGAAAGCCACACACGGATCGCGTACTGAATACTGTTCATGCAAACAATGAGAATGCGATCAAGCGGTTGGGCATGGCGGAAACTGACGAACAGCTGAGGGAGAGGATGAAGAAGAGGGCAGATCCGTACTGGATTCATGAGCATGATGTTGATAAGGTGTTCGAGCAGGTGCTGGCCGAGAATACCCAAGTTTCGCAAGCCAGACTGTAGCCAAAGATAGAGCAGGCATAAATGTGACATCGGAGACCATCTCACATTCTGGTCTCAAGAGTTCATTGGCCGATGTCTGGGCAAAGCGCGAGTAGCTGCCATTAAATGCTTCACATGTCTTGTCACCATCGAGTCGCTTGCTGAAATCTTTTCCACCGCCCACTTGCAGACTTTATTTTGATGGTTATGGCAACTAGTCGATGTTTCATAGCTAAGAAGGTACTTTAGCATCGAACCCATTGAGCACCGTGGACACATATGCGTAGAAGCCAACGTAGTGGACCAGAGCGGTAGCACCGTGGATGCCTAAGACCTGAGGAGATCATTCAGTATCAGTGAGCACATCCTTGAAGATTCTACGCAGGCAGCTTACACTTGTTGCCTCCTCCCAAAGCGCTGATGGCGACGGTCCAGACTTTCCAAGCTCGATGGCTACTTTGTACGCAACCTTCTGCTTGTCTGAAAAATGTGCGGGACAAGTTCCCTCATGGAGTTGATGTTGCTCTGCTTCGGTAAAGCCTGAAAGGCTCTCGTGCGCGCTGTATCCACGTGAGATGAACGACGCTGTGTGAAGAGAAACATGGTATACTCGTACTATGACTCGTATGCTGGCCCAAGGCGAGAGCCCACCGCCAGGATGGCGACCTCACGTACTTCATGTGGAAAATCTGGAATTCTTCGGAGAGATGTTGCGAACTGGATGAAGGCTTTGGCGACCTCGGGGTGGTGGATTTGGGCTCCAAAGGGGCCTACGAATCGAGATTGGTTGTCGAGGTAGATGAACCTGTCTACTTGTTTAGTATGTATTGGATACATCAGAAAAATTCATACCTGTCACCGTAGTTTGCCGTTGTATATTTGTGCATCACATCGTAAGCCTCTCCCTGTGCAGGCGTGAGCTCCGAGGGAGCAAGGAGGCCGAGTCGGTTCATGACTGAAACCTGGCGACTGTGATGCAGAGATTGATATCTTGTGGTACCCCTGAGATGGGGCCTGGAGATCTATTTGTTTAAGAGTGGTCTTGCAGGAGAGGTTGTCACTGGAATGACAAGCTCTACCGGAGCGCGTATTGCGGTTTTGGTGGCTAAAGCGGAAAGCCTGTCATTCAGCCATCTCCGAGACTCTCCTTACTACAACGTGTGTCATCGAACACGGCTGGAATCGGGCTACGACAAGAAGCCACTTCCAGATGCAACGTAATCACTGGACAATGGTAATGCTCACATTTGGAGGAATGACAACAGATGTTCCCCTCGTTTCCTTGTGCCGAACGGCGTTTTACTAATCAACGCATCACCGCCGCGAGTCGCGTTGTCGTTCAGTCTCCCTGTATCACCAAAACTTTCACAGATCTCTAGAATTCGATACGGATCTATTTTTCCTCGCAGCGAGTCACTCAACCCACTTCGGCACTCGATTCATTCTCTCTTGCCATCATGGATTCATCACAATGTGGCTATCCTGAGATGAAGGACTTGAACATGGAGAACATCACCTAAAACGTGAATCTCATCAACTCCGGCTGCAAAGACGAAAGGTTGAAGTACCTCATCAGCCGTCTTGTGTCGTATATCCACGACTACGCACGAGAGACGCGTTTGAGCATGGCCGAGTGGGAGACGGCCATCAACTTTATGACAGAGGTTGGGCAGAAATGCACCAAGACACGTCAGGTACAGTCGTCTAGCACGTTCACATATTCTATAGCTGATCCTTGTTGGCCAGGAGTTCGTGCTTTTCTCTGATGTCATCGGCCTTTCCCTCCTTGTCGATGCTCTTGATCATCCCAAGCCCAAAGGCGCTACCGAAGGCACTGTCCTGGGACCATTTCACACCGATGATGCCGCAGACACGTCGAATGGCGGAGATATTAACAGCGATCCAGATGGTGACCCATTGCTGGTGGTCGGCAAAGTTCTTGATATGAAAGGGCGACCTGTCGAAGACGTGGCAGCGGATGTGTGGGAAACAGATTCGCACGGGTTTTACGATGTGCAGTACGCCAATCGTGACGGACCTCATGGACGTGCCATTTTACACACAAATGCAAATGGCGAGTTCTGGTTCAAAGGGATTGTTCCGGTCTCTTACCCCGTCCCCGTAGACGGGCCAGTAGTAAGTGACCCAATCATGATTCAGTCGGCCCGTCTAACAGAAAGGTCAGGGGGGCTTTCTTCGTGCCATGGGAACCATCCCTACAGACCAGCTCACATCCACTTTTTGATGGAGAAGGACGGCTTCGATGAGTACATCACGTAGAGATATCTAAATTTGCTCCAAGGCGAGTACTTTGCTGACTTGACACTTACAGAGCCTTGCCTCTTCGTGGAGACCCCTATGAGCCGCACGACCCAGTCTTCGGTGTGAAGGCTTCATTGGTAGTCGACTTGGGGAAAGTGGATCAGGCTACAGCTCAGAAGTACAACGTCAAGTCCGGAATTAAGCTCCCCGAGCACGAGTTTGTCTTGGTGACAAATGAAGAGGCTGCTGCATTGAGGCGGGAGGAAGCCGAGCATGTTCTGGGGTCAGATGTTGATCGTCCAGTACCAGCTGGCAAGTAAAGGGAATTGCGGCGACGATACAATCACAGGCTAGTAGTATTCATCAAGTCCTCGTTAATAACAAAGAATGCAGAGCTATATTTTGCAACATGCTCAGATTTCTTGCGTTATATCAAGCGTCACACACTATCACTGCTTTACGGATGCTGCCATCGTACGCCTCCGCAACCTGGCCAAGGGAGATTTCCGTCGCCTTCACCTTCGGCATGTTTTCCGTATTGCCTTTGAGCAGCGGCAGTAACTTCTCGTTCAACAGGCGCGTCATGTATGCTTGCGTGTAGTCGGCGGTGTTGCAACTCAAGAAGCTCAGCTCCCTGCGGTAAAACGAGAACAGATCGAACGTCACGTCTGTACTCCCAGTGCGCGGAGCCATAATGGACACAAGTCTACCACTGTGGATCATCTGTTCTGTTGCAGCTCGTATCAAAGCGACGTCTCCCACAGTGTCGACAACAACATCGACGCCTTTTCCATTCGTTAACGCGGCCACGCCTTCTAGCTTTGGATCTTTCGTCGAATCGATGTCGGCCCCGTGTCTGCCCACAGTGATGACCTGTCTAGATCTTGCTTTTGCAAGCCATGATACCCAGCTGCCGACCGAGCCATTGCCGCCGAGTACCAAGATGCTCTCTCCAGCCTTGAGTCCGCTTCGCTCCATGATCTGCAAGGCTGTCGAACACGGCACCCCGACCAGAGCAGCTTGTACCCAGTCTAGCGACGGTGGTTTCAGACAGAATCCGTTCGCGGGAACTATGGCATACTCCGCATGTGCGCCATCTTCAGTGAAAGAAAATGAGGCACCGCTGGTGCCGAACACTTCTTTCTTCAGCAAATGCGGCGGACCGTCGATGATTACGCATGCAAAGTCCCGTCCGAGCGTGCGAGGGAACGTTGTCTGGGGAAATTCCCCCTTCGCGTTGAGTATATCCGATGGCTGAACTGCCGAAGTTTTGATCCTGATGAGAACCTGCTGGGCGTTTGGCTTGGGGATGGGGACTGTCTGCAGTGTGAGCGAGGGCGTCGTTGTGGACGACTTCGTTGCTCTGAACGCCTTCATCGTGGTCCGAGATCGATCGAGGAAGCTGCAACGCTGAGGAATTTGATACTGTATGAGGTACGGCGTGGAAGCATTACCTTGGCACTCTCTTATACAGTTCGGCCGATGCAGGAAGTCGAAGGTCAGCAAAGAGTAAGCCTTTAGCGTACGCCGAGAAATGACATTGACCCGATAAATGTACTACCAAGAACGCTCCTCTCTACGGTAAAGGACCCTGGCGATGTCACCAGACATGTTTGTATTTGCAGACCATGTCGTAATATGACCCCTATGCGATACCTGAAGTTGCAGACTCGAGCTCTTCTATTATCCGCATCACTTCGCCTTTCGCATTGCCGACCGGCATTCTTCCGAGAACCGCAGCATCCACGAGCTTCATTGAAAGGTGGCCTATATTGACCGTGTCCTTGGCGAATGCTTCTTGAATCCTCTTCATCTTCCACACTTCACTCAGCTGCAGCAGGTCAGAACCACCCTCTGTCATGACCGAATCCTCGACCACGCCTTCGTCTTTGAGACTGTCGTTCATGTTCGGATTGAAGACCGACTGCGACGACAGTAGGACTGCCGATAGGACTTGGCTGTTGATCTGAGCTCGGAGTAATCTTTGTTTCAACGCAAGATGGTCCAAGCGGGTGGCGGCTAGTGTGTTCCTAAGGTCCTCGTTCGCATTCTCTAGTTCTTCGGTGTATTGTTCCTTCCGCTGACGAAAAGCGCGTTGACTGCAGCTTGCTGATTAGATCTCACGGTCAGGTAAGCTCGAGCCTTATCTGACTTACGCCGCCCTGTTTTGCGCCTGCCTGCGCGTTTTCCCGTCGTCCTCCTTTGCTTTATCTTCCAGGAGAGGAGACTTTACAATGGACGAGTCTTGACTCGTCCGCCTCTGCTTCCGCACCTCCTCGTGCTCCCCGCAGAGTTCTACCAACGAGGCCGGCCGCGGGGAAATGTAGTCCTTGAGAAACACCAGCCAGTTGTCCATGTCATCAACTTCAGCAGGCATTGAGTCTGGTGAAGCTGAGGGTGACAGCTGGCAAGACATTGTAATGACACGGCTGGGAGGTTATTGATCGAGTTGAATTACGTGTTGCAAGCTTCATGGGCCACTTTACATTTCCCAATCCAGCAAGAAACAACGTTCATACAGCCTCGAAGTCAGTCTATCAACAGGCTCTCGAATTGTTGCGCTACGCAATCTCCTAGCGACAGCCCGCTCTCGGCTTTACTAAACTGTAAAAGTCATTCACGGCATCGCGATCCTGTTGACGACGCTTCATGCTTGACCATTGCCAACGTCCGGGTCAACATGTTTGGGGGAAGAGGGGATGGCAGGGCGCATGAGGGCGTTTCAGGCTAGATGGATCTTGGAAGTGCCCTATGTTGTAGTCTATTACTCCTGCCAATTGGCTGGAGTCGACTCCTTCCCCACGTGAGGGCAGTTCGTTGCACGGGCCGAGCGAAGTAGTCATTATCCTGTTGAAGCTTGAGTGATTGAGAAGACCTTAGTAACATCACATGTCAGCGAAGAGAAGCGCCAATTCGATACTAGCTTCGTTAGCCCACTACTGCGTTGGGTCAAGGCTTCGCTAGACTGCATGTGGCCGCTACTCCACCCGGATTAGCGCCACCGAAATCTAATGACCGAATGCCTCGCACGATCTAAGGTTGAGGACTAAGCATCGAGCAGAAGCTGAATGATACGGAATACCAAACGTGCTCAATGACCAATAGAGATTTGCAGCCTTATGGTCGTCAGCTCTTGATCTTCACCCTAGATGGACAGCAATCGGGACCGCACAATGCTAGCTCTGGACAACTCTCGCGGATTTTTTCCAAGTGGCTCCGGCTTCAGTCCCTTTTCCAAAGTTACTTCGGTTTTCCATGTTTCAACTTTGGTGCAGCCTTCGTCTCCAAGCGGTCAAGCGTTTGTTTGGCACCCATCTTGACAAGTCAAAGGATCTTTGACCTTCTTACAGGATAACCGCAGCCGTTGACTGTGTTCAGGTCGGCATCTCTCAAGCAGGAGAGCCCGAGAAGCAAGACCTCAAATCCGTTTGGAGAACGTTCTTATTCATGCCGATATCGAGAAATATTGAGAGGCATCCAACGGAATCTATCGGTGGCCATCTCGAGAGAACCGCTACTTTGTGTCTCGCAGAGGAGTCTGCTATACGGATGGGGTCTGTGTGATGCTTTCGCAGCGTCTCCAATTCAGCATGGAGGCCAACCTCTCCGTACGACGGTCCAAGGCAGCACTCGCCGCCCCTTGCACATCGTCATGATAGACATCATCATAGCGGAAGACGTCGTACTTGGACATACTGACCAGTTCCCATTACTCAGCCGAACCTTGGCATTCTCGTCCTCTTCGTACTAGGCAGGTAAGCCTACCCGATGGTGCCGTTGATGGCCTTCAAGAACATAGCCAGCCTTGCTACGCGGCCACCGCGAGACGCAGCTCCAAAGGAGAAATCTAGGGGCCGTACTCTGTGTCTTCCGCACAACGTGGAACCATCCCAAGCAATCCAGAAAACTACTCAGAGCTTATCCGAGCGGGCGATCGGAGGAATGGTTCACGATGCCGTGCGTTCCAATTTGAGCGGAAAACGAGAGTACACGTTTGCCATGATGCTACCAGTAACTCAGTTGAGATCCAGAACTTTCATCAGGCTTCCGCGTTTCGGTCAATGTCGGCAGGATTTCATGAATACTATCCAAATGCTGTCCTCAAGCGCCTTTACATTCCGAATCTCCTGTCCCGTGACAGGCTTCTACCAGTTCTAGTCTTCGACAAGGCGGAAACCGATGATGTCTTGTCGGGAAGAAGATGTTTTGGTCGGAGAGGAAGGAAGATGCGGATATGTCGGCTACCCCGGGCTATGAAGCCGACCCAAGCAGGACGTCACTCGTGTCAGTCTATCAGGGGCGTGTTTTAATAGTGCCAAGATCAGGGACAATGTTTCCTAGAAAGCAACCAGAGCGAACAAAGTCTTGAGTATTCATCTGATTCAGGATCATGAGTGATTTTCATTTCGTTAACAAGAATGCACAATCAAGCAACCTCTCCAGATCTGAGGACATCGAACGAACCGATGTCTACCGTCACGTCCAACGACGAGTCTCACACCAACGGAGAACATCTTCACCAACGGTGTCCCAGGGTGGAAGCACTTCACGGAGGCCTGGAGTGCCATTCGGGTATTCTCATGCACAGCACGGAATGACACTTGCAGACATGGCGATGCTTGCACTTCGAGTGCCCCAGAGCCCTGCAGACAACCGGTTGGTGTACTGCCATCGTCTCCTCGACGCATTCATTGACCACAACATCACCACTCTAGCCAACCAGGATGACTATCTTGACATCCATTCCTTCTTCTGAATCAAGATCCTGTCGCCTCTACTTTCTCTGGGAGGGCCGTCCTTGTGTCCTAGCATCATTGCGTTGGCAGCAGCTGGGCTTGGCCAGACGACAAAAGACTATCGTCTCATCGAGGCTGCCAACTCTGCATACGGTCAGGCTGTGGAGACGTTGTCCAGCACAGCCGTGCATGCTGACGATCGAGCGTTTGCGGCCTGCCTGTCCTTGGTCATGTACCAATTCTTCGCCGAAAACCCGAATCGTCGACATCTTTACCTGCATACTCGTGGACTTGCAGCAATTCTCCAGTCCCGTGGACCTGAAGGCTTCCAGGAAGGCTTGGCACACGACTTGTTCACGAGCTCGCGATCAGTCCTGATCTCCTCGTCGCTGCATTCACGGAAGCCATTATTCATAGCTGCACATGAGTGGAGAACCACCCCGTGGCAGACACGGCCAAAGTCCAGCTACGAGCAGATGCTTGACTGCTTGAGCATCATTCCACAGGTTGGACAAGACTTTCTGCAAGTCCAGTACGCGGATAGTGGTGATGATTGGAGCGAGCAAAACGTGTCGCTTATCGTTAGGATCTGGGACACTGTGGCGGTAATTCGTACCTGGTTCCTCTCCGTTGTGGATACGGCTAGACCAACGAATATCACTTATACGAATCTTCCCGGTCTTCTGGATCCTGCACCACGGCATCTCACATTCCCACACAGCTATGAGTATCGCTCTCTGGCCAGATCAAACATGTGCCGTCTCTTTTGGACATCCTTGGTCGACCTTTATAACATGCTGGCGTTGACCTGCGAAGGACTTGCCCAGCGCGGAGTTTACTCAGTAGATCTTGCCCCAGCACTGCAGTGCTGCCGAGAATGTATGAGTTCCGGACAAATGGATGGACCATATGGTGCCAGCCACAACAGCCACTATTTCTGCACTGCTGGAGCTGCCATATCGAGCTTGCGCCCGTTGCGACATCTTCACGCCGATACATGCAGTTCAATAACGCTCGCATTCGCCTGCAGAGCCTTTGCGAGAACGGCTGCCGAGCAAGTATGCATGTCGCTCCAGTACTGCATCTCGAGAGAGCATGGTACAGTGGGCAAATATCTCTGCATCATACCCGTCAAGCTCGCTGTCTGGTGCTTTACCATAAACCTGCCATCTACGAGTCACCAATTGGAGTGGACTCGCCGTGTGGTGCGGATGCTGACTGAGTCTGGGGTGCCGTTTTCGGCAAAGCTGTTCTGTAAGAAGCCGTACAGACGAGAGGAGCCAGAGCAGGAGACAATGTATTCCAGCGTAGAGTGAGGAACCGCTCGAGGGCATCGCCTTCATTGGTGATCGAACTCGATCCTCGCCGTTGAGATCTCTCCCGTTAAGGCTGCCGCCAAGTTTGGTGGAACGGCCTTTCCAAAGATGTTTTTCAATCCCCGGAGATAATACATTAGTCATTGGACCGCAAGATCTCTGGAGCTTCGAAGGGCTGCCAGATCAAAGCCAGAAAGCCCCAAGGAAGAAGTGCGTCAAAGTGCACTGCTGGAAAATGGTCTCGCAAAAGCTTTTCGGCAGTAGTACACCATTTAAGCTCGGCCTTGTATTCAGCGCTACTGCCGAAGAACTCTTGCGCGAAGAAAATGGAGAGCCTCACCGAAGCAGATTGAGAGACGTTTCCACCAGCAGACCTAAGAAGGAATGGCATGGATCGGCAGAGAAGGTTGGCGCACGCACGAGATTCGTCGTCGAAGTTCCGTTCTCGGAGCAAGATGGATTCCTCGAGGCCCGGATCAGAGTCAAGAGCAGTCTTCACATCGTCTATGGCCCTGCGGAGGAGAAGAAGGCATTGCCAGTACAAGGAGTGTATGTTTGCGGCATGATGGGATCGAAAGTATAGTTCTCTCCTGAAGGTTGGGCTGAGAAGTGGTAAGGGCAGATCTCGAGATGGCGGACCTTGGCTGACAGCGAATGTGACCGACCCTTCTTTGAGACGACGTGTGCTTTGCTTGCTGTACTCTTCGAACCAACGGGTAAACCTTCGATCGAGATCCAGGAGTCGAAATGCCAGTGATGTAAGTTGAACTGAAGACCCAATTGAAGCAAGAGCGAGATCCACCTTCTGGAGCAGTCGGGGTAGACTTGCAGCAATAGATAGTAACTGCGGCAGGCCACCAGGCTCGGGGGAAGATTTTATGCTCATCCAGTACGAGACGTTCAGCCTGAAAGGCCGTCGGGTGATGAGGGAATGCACAAGCTGTAACCACATCAGCGGAATAGCTTGATCAATGATGAGATGTTGGTGATACCTCAAGCATACATGAGGTCTCGTAGAGTATATGACCTATAGGAGATGACAGAAGCTCGGTGCCGCTTTGCTTCACTAATCGAACCATCCACATAACATGCATGGGCCACGAAACGGTGTCCTCGGCGACGGTGGTGTAAACCTATTGAGGATTCAGCTAAAAAAAAAGCAAGCGATGAGATACAGCGGCTGAAGCCTGACCTGGCACAAAAGAACTTCCAAGATGACTGCGACAACAGCCGTAAAGTCTTTCTCGGGTGTCTCGAGGTCATTTTGAAAAGATTTCAGCAGCAACCCGTAATGTCGCCGTGCCCGATGTGCAACGTCATCATTGTGCTGTTCAGACTGTATTTGCAGAAGACCCACAGCGTAAATAGCCTCTTCCATGGACCGGTTTCTTGCCTGCAGCCATGTCAAGTGCCTGGTTGCCACTGCAGGTATACGGTATGCATCCGTTGTGAAATAGCCTTCTGCGAAAACGTTGGTCATGAGGACTATCGGTAGGTCGGATCGACCGATTGACATGGGAAGAGCGTTCTGACAAAATGCAACCCACGGCTGAGGACATATCTGTTTTGATCCTCGAGTGACTGCGACGCTCATGCTCGCCAATTCCACGCCTTCGGATGCCTGATGGGCTGACTGAGCCGGGTATGGGCCTTCTGCAGCCTCATGTCCATGATCTGGATTGGTCTTAGGCTTCGAGATGAGACGCCCATCTCCTTCAATGCTGGTATCTGTGAGGCGAGGGAGAACTTTGCCACCTTTTCTAGCAGCTGCTCAAATATTAGCGCTGTACAAACGGCACACGATCTTTGTTCGGTACCAGCAGCGGAACGTTCTTCCCGTTGTCGCCGTCGCCAATCTCGTGCAGCTTGTGCTCGTATATGGGCCGCTTGCTCGGTGGTCCCTTGACTTTGGTCGATCCAGACCAGATTTGATGTCATCTCGAATGGCTCCGGTCAGACCGACTCAGGTGTTCGCACAGGCTAGGGCCGGGTCATTAGCATGAGAGTAGGAAAGTCGTCCGGAGTGTGTGGCACCAGATCGGCTGCAAGAGCTTCATCGCATGCGTTCAGATTGACAATCATCATCACGAGTGAGCGAAGTTCAGCTTGGTGGTCTGATGTTGGCGCTTTACGCACGAAGGATGCATAGAGTTTTTTTAGGGCTCAACGGCTGATCGTCCGGTCGGAAATATGAGGTGAATAGGGGACATTCGTCCCTATTGCTCCCAAGCTATTTAAGCTGCTTGGGGTGCAACTAGCAGCGCAGTTGTATATAAAAAGTTGGAGGGATAGCAGTTCCAGACGTTTCAATTTGACCGGAACGAGGAGGGTAGTCCTCGATATTCAACATTACCCTCGACGCCTCTCAATTTCTAGAGGCTGATGTCTGTGTTCTTTTATGAAGTCTTCAGCGAGATCACGAGGAATGAAATGTTACCGCCAGGATGGCAAACAGGACGATGCTGCTGTCTGCTGTCCCCTCTATCACATCCCTGAGTCAGGCTGAGAAGCCTCTTGTTTCTCTCGGCGAATGGAAGTCTGTAAAGGCGAAGAACAAACCCCGAAGAAAACTCACACATCTCTTAGGCGTGAGAGCAAAGATAGTGGATGTTGCTGCAACGAATTGCAGAAGCCGCAGAGGAACGAATCCCAGCTATCATCGTGCCAGGATAGCCACTTTCCCTGGTTGGTATACCTCTCCCAACTCTTTACCATTCGCAACCCAACAGATCCAGCTCCTTGCATATAAGTCTCTCGATGCCTTAGGCAGGATTGGCTTTCTGACACGGCCTATCGTAAGCACACAGGTTGGCTGAGCTTCAAACACTGATCGCTTGTTTCTAGGTCTTATGCAACCATCGGAAAGGCGTGATTCTGCGTCTCTTGGAGCCAGTCCTTTGGAGCAATATGTGGACATTGTCAAGCCACCTGCAAGCTTGCTCTTCTTTGCCTCCGCCTCGGTCTTCTATGAACAAGCAGCTGCTGGCAAGAGATTCATCTTAGGTCGTACAAGCTTCAAGGGAGTTTGGAAAGTTGAAGCACAGGAACTTGCTACAGGCGAACTCGTCGCTGGTGAGGGTAATGTGTCACGGTCAGGCTATCGAGAGTAGCCCATGTCGATGTGGAGGACCCGACGATGATGGAAGGGTGCAAGGGTCGACGAGCGGGTTCCAGGAAGGCGGATGTCCAAGTGCTTGTTCCAGGATGCCCTTGAGTGGACTTGGACACGACAGACGCTGATATACATTGGCATGGACAGGACAGCGAGGACGATGTTGGCTGGTCTTGCTCCTGTCGGCATGGTCGTCGTTCCGGGAATCTGGTACTGATCAGATCGTAGTCGACGAATCCATAAGCTCGACATTGTCGATCCAGGCTGTGGATTCCTCCGTACCATAGACCGGTCTCGACTGCCATTCGAACTATTGCGGAGAAAAGATCACGGTGGCTTCAAAAGGCACCTGAGCTCCATTCGACGCTATCTCGCTAGATACACCTCTGCAACGACTGTTCGATTTCGGGGCTCTCCACATCTGTATTTGGTGGCGTCGGTTAGTAGCCTGAATTGTTAGATTATCCGCGAATGAAACGTCAGGGCTAAATCGAAGCAGAAAGTGGTTTCTTACCTTGCAATCCAACGAAGCATTTGAGACATTCAATCGACGCGTTGGAGTCACGATAGTAAGAATACTTCGAACACAAAAGAGTGGTCGATGAAAACGCCAGGAAATGTTCCAGACTCTGTCGTGTCTCCTCAACCCCGGACGACATTACTCCGGACCCCGAGTTCCCCATGCCGCGAACGACAGCCAGAGCGGGGTGGACACCCGGGGCACCCCATGGGACGGGCTATCTCAGACCCAGTGTCGAGGCACCCCTCAACGCCAATTGGTGGACATTTCAAATCCCTTGCACCAGAGGCGCTAACCACTGGCTCCAAGCTTCTCCTACGTGCACACAACGTGCTTCCCCATGCTTGTTCGGCCATGTGGCCCGGAGCGTCTACTGCACGATCGAGGTATATTACTTCTGGAGGAAGCCCGTGTCTTTCCCCTCTCGTCCCCATCCCTACATTCAGGGTACTCGCCAACAATCCTCCCTCTCGCCGCTCCGTTCCTCGAGGGACAACGCAGCTCTTCATTGCTCCACGATCACGCCAGCCCGACCGTTCACAATGGAGAAAGACGTAGGGTCGACCATGCATGAGACCGACGAGAAGGCCGAAAGGCAGACATCTGTCTACTCGGCCCAGGTCAAGGTCTCTGATTTCAAGGCAGACGCCATGGAAGCAGAGAAGTCGGAACATGACATGACCGTTCTCCAAGCCGTGAAGGCGTATCCAATGGCAGCTTTCTGGGCCTTTGTCATGTCCTCTATGATCATCAGTACGTTCACGCGTGTCCCTTGTACATCCATGCCGGCAGACGCTTACCAAATCTCCAGTGGAATCTTACGATGTCTTTCTGGCCAACAACTTCCTCGCCCTGACGGTCTTCAACGAGCATTTCGGAACCCTGCAGGCCGACGGCTCGTACAATATCCCACCGAGCTGGACCTCAGCTCTGTCCTGTTCTGGACAACTGGGGGCCCTTATTGGAGTCTTTCTTGCTGGTCCTCTTACGAGCAGAATTGGTTACCGTTGGGCCACCATCTTCGGGTTGATGCTTCTGAATGCCTTCATCTTCGTCTTCTACTTTGCCGAGTCTCTGGGCGTCATTTTCGCAGCGCAGATCCTTGAGGGTATTCCATGGGGCATTTTCATTGCGAACGCGCCGGCTTACTGCAGCGAGATCGTCCCAATTCAGCTACGTGCACCATGTACGCAGATGTTGCAGATGTTTTGGGCCATCGGCAGCATCATCGTCGGCGCCGTCACGTACTCTTACCAGAGCCGTAACGATGATTTGGCCTACAGGTGTGCACGACTTTACCGCAGACTAGAACGTACCATTGACTGACATTCGCTAGGCTCCCAATCGCACTCCAATGGATGTTCCCTACGCCACTGGCTATTCTCATGTTCTTCGCTCCCGAGAGTCCCTGGTGGCTGGTACGAAAGGGCAAGTTCGAGCAAGCAGCCAAGGCGGTCCAACGGTTGGGACGCAAGTCTGCGGTGAACCAGAACGAGACCGTGGCTATGATGCGCCGTACAATCGAACTCGAGACGTCGGAGAAGTCACCCAGCTACATTGAAATGTTCAAAGCTACGGATCTTCGCCGTACCCTGATCGTGGCCGGTGTGTACGCATCGCAGAACTTGACTGGTAACTTGATTGCAAACCAGGCCGTCTACTTCTTCACTCGTAAGTTAGATCCATGATTGTGTGAGGTCTTCGCTGACGATCTATCAGAGGCCGGAATCGGTCAGCAACTTGCTTTCGCCCTGGGACTCATCACTTCGGCACTTCAGATGATCTTCGTCATGCTGTCTTGGATTCTCACGACCTATTTCGGCCGAAGAGACATCTACCTCTGGGGCTCGCTCGCCAACTTCATCCTTCTCATCGCACTGGGTATTGCCGGTTCCGTTGGAGTCAACCACGCTTCCAACTTGGCTCAGGCCTCGCTGGGTCTGATCGTTTCTGTGCTGTTCACTCTGGGCCCAGCTCCTGCGTCGTGGGTTATCATTGGAGAGACGTCTTCGATCCGTCTCCGTCCCCTCACCACTGGATTCGGTCGTGCAGTCTACTACATTGTCGAGATTCCATGCATTTTCCTCGCACAATATATGCTCAACCCAGACGGTGTCAATCGTAAGTATAAGCAACTCCAGCCTCCCATTCATTCACTGACAACGGTGTAGTTCGAGGCCAGTGCGGTTATGTTTGGGGTGCTACAGCACTTGTGTGCCTGGTCGTCGCATGGTGGGGTCTGCCTGAAATGAAGAACCGCTCGTACCGTGAGATCGACATTCTATTCAAGCGTCGTGTGCCGGCTCGCAAGTGGAAGAAGACAGAGGTCGGCCTCAGCGAGGATGAGTAGGTGGGAAGAATGGAAATGCGGGCCAGCGCAAGTGCAGGTGTTAGCGGGAGATGATATACGTTAGTAGGATGAGCAACCTTTTTCCCATTGTGGCAAGATGCACAGGGCGATACGCTCTCCATTCTCTACGCCCGCCTTGCTCTATATGCCATTGCTATACGAAGTCGCTCGCTTTGCACAACTGCAGTAGCCGCTTTCTCGCCGCATTCTGCCAAAGCTCCTGGCCAATGTTACCCAAAAGTGTAGTCACCAGCCGTCCTCCTCAGACCCCAAGCCTCAATGTAGCTCTCCGTGATATCAGCATTATCTGTCAGAGCTGCCAACACAAAAGTGTCTGCACCATGCTTATACTTTCCCCCAATCGCAACCGTACATCTAGCCCATTTTGCGGTAAGAATCCCAATACTCACACACTCTGTAAAGAATGGCACGCAATCGTCAGTCTTGCCGTAGAGCTGCACTCTTTGATTGTCAAGGGTGAAATTTTGGCTGAAAATCGGCACGGCTAGTCCTCCATAGCCGATGGTTGCGTTGATGGCAGGGCCTTCGATGTAGCCCCCTGTGATGGGGAGTGCTGACAAGATATAAGTATAGGACTGTATCTTCCACAAAGCCGACGACATACCCGCTAGTTCTCCTTCATACGGTGACGCTGGGATGCCCGTGACGTTCTTTCCCAAAGTCACCTTACCGGAAAAGAGGTAGATTGGATCGAACTTGACGGAGGGGATAGACGAGTTGCTCTGTGTTGATGAACCAAGCCCCGTCAATGACAAGAGAAACACCAGTATGTGATAGCGAGTGTTCATGATGCTGAAGCAAAGTTGTGGTGTCGGGGTTGGAACTGTCCTTAATAGAAGAAGTCTCATGTCTTGTAAACAATCAGGATACTTGGGCAAGGCAGCATTATATACTTCGTGAGTGCAGCCAGAGCTGGGTATGCATAGACCACATTTGCTATACGCTTTCGTCGATGATGATGGGTATGTTCGTAAGCGTAACGGATAAGCAGACACAGAAACGCCGCATCCATACGGCCGATCCAGAAGATAGATGGTTAATGCAGCTTTGTGTTCGTCGTTCCTTCTTGCGACTTCACTTCGATGGTAGAAATGAAATATCGACGATGAAGCGCAAAATCAAGCTCGAAGCAGTAAAGATTACTTCCAAAGAGCGGCCTGTCTGTCTGCCCGCACTCTTCTCCGTGCGTAGTGTTGGGGCTGAAGTATATTGTAAATTTGACAACAATCGTTACAAATCCGCTGACAAAATCGCTCACGGCAGACTGAGGTTCAGAATTAGTGTCACCAGCGCTGTTGGAGGGAATGCCCAGCATGATGGCTCTACTAAAATGGGCATATCTCAGGATGTATCGTTTGTTGAAGGCACTTTGTCGAGCTATCTACATAATGAATGAGGTTCATCGAAGCCTGAAAGATTGATCCGACTGGGGCTACAATAGTCACGATGAGCGGTTAATCAATGAGCGTATTTTGCTGTCTGGCTAGACTCAAACGATCGTATTCTATCAGTTCCTTGACCGTCAGGTCTTCCGTCCCAAACCGCCAGCAAGTCTTGAATCGCCTCTCCTATCCGTCTTGTCGAGCACAAGAGCCCCTGGATATCCCTCATGCTTCGAACTCGACCGCCTCCCTCGACGCAGGCTTTTCCGCTCCACCGATCACCTCACAGGCCGTGACATCGTCCAGGTTACCGGCCAGCTGAACGGTGACTGGGAGACCCCATAAACTGACAAGGGCGTTGTACTCCTGCTGCAGTCACTTACTATGTCGTCGAAAGAGCTTCGGACAGCCTCAATGCTGATTGTCACCCCGTTGTTTCACTCGTAGTTGTCGATTGCAAGCTTGCAGTCCTCATACGTCGTGACGTAGCATGTTTGATTGACCGGGACATCAAAAGACGTGGAAGAGTCGATTCCCGCAACGGTGTTGTTGATCTTTTGGACTTGAGCTGCGGTGCAGTTGGTAAAGCCTGAAACCTGGCAATGCTGTGCGTTGGTTGCCTGCCAAATTCAGGGTCAGTACACAATAGCATTGCAGGATTTCGTTCAAGTTCGATACGACGACAGCTATGGCCATGAGCGCGGAAAGTATCTGGCTATTTTGGAGTTGCATGTTGAACTGAGATCTGCAGGTGACAAGGGTTAGCGATTTGCAGCCAGAGGCGTGGTGATGTTGCCAGAGGGAGAAGAACGTGCGATGACTGCCTTGGAAGCAATTGAGCCTGAGCAAATATACATAAAGTGCCCAGAAGCACCCTTGTACCGTCATGTAATCGCCAGGATACATCGGGAGAACGCTCTTATATATTTCCGTAGCGAACCTAGCAACAAAGCCTTGGGGCGCATGTCAGTGGAAATTTTAAGATCGAGTAGTAGCTTCTGGGCAGACCCAAGACCGTCAGCGATGCTCGGAGCATAAGAAGGCTGTACTTGATCATTGGGTGAACCAAAGCCGTGATGGCGGTCCTGGAGCCTTGCTGGCCTTTCCTTTCAACCAATGGAGCGAGAATCACAAAACCTTGCTTGGGAGTCTTTACCCGACGACCACCACTTTTCTGTCGGTCACTTCGCATCCCCCGTCTAATCACTTCCAGTATCGCATGATGCTCGCAGGGTGCCTGCTATCATGTGCTCTAGTCTTCGCTCTTGGTCCCATGGTCTAGCAAGATACGCACGTCGTGAGGTCCACTTTTAAGCCATAGGCAACCATTCGCTAACGATCACTGTCCATCAATCTTAGCTGGTCTCATGCAGGACATGATCGAAAGTCACTGCTAATTCCAACCCCTAGTAGCCCTCAAATTAGAGCGTGGGCGGCGAGTAAGGCTGGGCAGCGAAGCTATCGTTTAGAAAGCAATCTTAAAGAGTTAACGCGCTCTTCTGAAATGGCCCGGAAATCCTCTTCTCACTTCATGCTTTAAGAGCGGTATCTTCTAATCTTGTTTATACTAGGAGGAAGATCTCTAATACGATAAAGAGTAGGCGGGCGAGTCCGAGCTAGACGCTCTAGTCGAAGATATAAGGCAATTCTATAAGCCTAATACTACCCGACTAGATCGAGACGACTCTACTCCTTAAACACCCCTTACGATACTTTAAAGTATATATTAATCTATCTAGGTATCGCTAGAGATATCGGCTTACTTATCTACTAGATAGAGCGGTAATATTCTATTACGAGACGGTAGGCGTAATCCTCTAGGTCCGTCTAAGCGGTTAGACGGCCTAAGTCTTTTAGCGTAGGTAAGAAGTATAATAGGCGATACTCTATATACGCTAATATTAGGGAGTAGAAAAATAATCGGACGTAAGTAGTACTAGTATAATATATATTATTATTTAATAACGGGAACTAGTATTAATACTATATTATAGTTAATATTAAATAGTACAGTCTAGATAGGTAGGCTAGAATAGATACCTAAGGTATAAATACTAAGAGTTACGTAACTAAGGGGAGCTTATTTTACCTTAGTTCTCCTACTTCCTATAA